ACGTGCAACGACGGAGCCGGGAATCATGCATAAGGGCGCCGCTCCTCGGAATTACAAAATATGAGAACTGAAGTATGGCTTATTTGTTTAGATTTTTATCTCGGGGTTAGGTTTATATTTTTTCTAGATTTATATTCTAGTATATGTGCCGATTTAATTATGCTCGCTATTCTTCACATAGTAGACAATCGTGTATATCGACAACGGGGCGCATGTGATAACACATGAATATCGAAATCTATCAGCTTAGTATTTCGAAAGTGCTCGTACCCGTGGCAGGTGACCGTGTCTATCGATAACAGGGCACATATAAATACTCATAAATCTTGAAAATCTATCAGCTTAGTATTTTGAAAGTGCTCATAATGGAGTAGGACGTGGATTTTATCATAGGAGTATGTGTATGTGCATGTACGTGAGAGTATATATTTATACTGTGATTCACACTAAAAAGGGATGGTCATCGAATTGTTATTGCTACTTAAATACGCGTTCAATAAAACATATGAAGTATAAGTATTTTAATAAACCAAAAAATAATAATAGATAGATCATAATACGGTAGGCAAACAAAATTTTAGATAAATCAAAATATTTTATTCTAATTATATTATGTGTGATTTTGTTGTCTAAAAGATATCGATAAACATTATAACAAGATTTTCTTTATTATACTCTTTGAGTTACGATAATTACTATACTAATTTACGAGATTATGATAACTCACTCATAAGTGATTTACTATAGCATTATGGCAAGTATCATCTTGAATTATAGTAACCCATATATCGTAAATGTGTATTGTCATTATCGTAAATTGGTACAAACATTATCGTAAATCAAGGTGGCCATAGAATAAGTTATTGTGTGTGTGTGTGTATATATATATATATATATATATATATATATATATATATATATATATATATATTGTATTGTATTGGGGGGGGGTATGGCCTCATGGCCTCCCTTGTCTCTCCGCCGGTGGCTATCGCGTGTTGTCGGCCAAAACCGCTATCGTAACAATCCCTTGTCTCCGCCAGTGGCTATCGGCGTGTTGTCGGCCGGAACCGTTACCGTAACAATGACTCTCCGTCCTCCGAGTGGATCGGAGCGGATCGTGCCATCAAGCAGCTGGGATGGGAAACCGAGGGCTTGGGCGAGAGCAGTGACCTAGGAATGCCCGGGGCTGCTCGGCCTCTTATAGGCAGAAGAAGAGGGAGGAGGGCGGTTCGGAGGTAGAAGATGGAGCTGACAAGTGGTGTCCCTTATCAGCAGAGGTAGAGAGGGGAGCGAGTGCGGGCCGCGGATGAATGGTCCTGAGCTGGTTTGGGCGGCAGAGGGCGAGGACCGGTAGGCCGAAAGAGAAAGAGAGGGAGGAGAAAGAATTCCATTTTTTTCTTTTCTGTTTTTTAAATCCATTTCAAAAAGGATTTCCAAATTGGTTTGAGTTTGAGTTAAAACCAGACCGTACATAAAATAAATGCACTAGCATGTATTGTTAGAGCAAGGTTAATAATACAGCTGGTTGTTGGCTGTATGAATCCTTACAGCATACTTTTCAGCTCACCCATATGGTAGTTCCATATTCACTGTTAATACATGGCCTACTTGTCTCTCTCATAGAGTTTTCTTGGTTCTTGTGTCCAAGGCGGCCGTAAGCTTACAGCCTACTTCTTCTCTTTCTCCTTCACTCTCTCCACCTCAGCATTTAACCTGCTTGTAGCCTCTTATTATACTTGCTCCTAGGGGGGCCCTGGCCCCCTCTTGTCTCCGCGAGTGGGCGAGGCTGGCAAGATGGGCTCTGCTGGCGGTCGTGCAGGTTGTAAGCGGCTAAGGTGATGTTTGGATGTAGGGGCTAAAGTTTAAAAGGTGTCACATCGGATGTCATATGGGGTGTTCGGATAGTAATAAAAAAAATAAATTACAAAAGTTCTTAGTAATCTGCGAGACGAATTTATTAAGCCTAATTAACCCGTCGTTATCATATGTTTACTGTAGCACCACGTTGTTAAATCATGGACTAATTAGACTTAAAAAATTCGTCTCGCAAATTAATCTCAATCTGTGCATTTAGCTTCATAAATAGTTTATATTTAATACTCTATACATATGTCTAAATATTCGATGGGATATAGACTAAAGTTTAAAGTTTAGAAGGCGGGACAAACACGCCACCTAAGCCAGCGTAGTAGCAGGCGAAGAGAAGCGCCGCCAGCAGGCTGAACTCCTTCAGACAGGAACGATGACGGAGGCGGCTTCTTGTTCATGGCGGGCAGCAGCAGCCACCCGTGTGACCCTAGCTAGCTTGCCATCGACGTATGGTCGACGATCTCTGTCGCAGTCGCACAGCATGGCCCTTTGTTGGACGTCTGATCGCCGGAGGAGGACACGACACTGCCTTTACGCCGGCCTTCTAAGGCCCCAGCTACCGTCGATCGGCGGGGCGGATGGACCGATCGGACACCGGAGGGAGGAGCTTGGCCTACCACCAAGCCTGTGGTGGGCTGTGGCCTGTGCCCCTGTCCGGTCCGGTCCGCCTGTGGCTGTGGGCGACGGCGATCGGCGGCGTTATTGCATTTCCAGAGGATGATTTGGTTTAGGCTGTGTTTAGTTCTAAAAAATTTCTCAAAAAGTGTTACAGTAGTTGTTACATCGAATCTTACGATACGTGTATGGAGCATTAAATGTAGACGAAAAAAGGGTAAAATACACTTTACAACCCTCAACTCGCGCCGAAGTTCGATTTTCAACCTTCAACTACGAAACTGGTTAAAAAACACCCTCCAACTATCAAAACCGGACAAATTTGGTCCTCGAGCGGTTTCAAAAGCGGTTTTCTATTTTCAGGAGGCACCGAAATTTTATATTATTTTTTGAGCATCTTAACGTCCTCAAATGAAAAAACTCAAAACTACAAAGTTGTAGATCTCATTGAGAGCTACAACTTTGGTATAAAAATTATTTTCATTTAACTCCATACAAATAATATATTAGTGCTCTAATGCGGCAAGAGCTAGTAGGCGATCATTATGGTGCCGAAATTTTATATTATTTTTTCGAGCATCTTACTGTCCTCAATTGAAAAAATTAAAACTATAAGGTTATAGATCTCATCGAGGTCTACAAGTTACATATAAAAATTATCTTCATCCGACATTGTATTGAAGGGTTTTCTATTTTTTGAAATTTGAGTCTCATCCCACGACAAAACAATATTGTGGCGTGACTGGACTCAAATTTAAAAAAATAGAAAACCCTTCAATACGATATCCGATGAAGATAATTTTTATATGTAAATTGTAGACCTCGATGAGATCTACAACTTTATATTTTTAATTTTTTCATTTGAGGACAGTAAGATGCTCGAAAAAATAATATAAAATTTCAGCACCATAATAATCGTCTACTAACGTTTGCTGCATTAGAGCACTAATATATTATTTGTATGGAGTTAAATGAAAATACTTTTTATACCAAAGTTGTAGCTCTCTACAACTTTGTAGTTTTGAGTTTTTTCATTTGAGGACGTTAAGATGCTCAAAAAATAATATAAAATTTCGGCGCCTTCCGAAAATAGAAAACCGCTTTTGAAACCAGCCGAGGACCAAATTTGTCCGGTTTTGATAGTCGGAGGGTGTTTCTTAACCGGTTTCGTAGTTGAAGGTTGAAAATCGAACTTCTGCGCGAGTTGAGGGTTGTAAAGTGTACTTTACCAAAAAAACTAATTACACAGTTTGGCTGGAAATCGCGAGACAAACGTTTTGAGTCTAATTAATCTATAATTAAACATTAATTATCAAATAAAAACAAAAATGCTACTGTATCCAATCCAAATTTCGCTAAGTAATCACAGCCTCACACGCAGCCTGACATGCAGCCAGCGGTGCGGCGCTGCAGGTAGATTCGCGGCACGTCATGTCATCATGGCATGGCGTGACGTGAAGTTTCCTGCGACAAGAACGCCAGGCCGCGGTAGTGGTAGGTACTGTGAGCCTGTGATCCAACATCTCCCTCTGCGGCTCTGACGCAGCAGGCACCACTGCACCAGGCAGCGCAGCACGGCCACGGCCCACGGGCCAGGGCCACCACCGTGCGGTTGCGGCCGAGGCGTGGAACAGGAAACGCATGTTGCAAGTGCTTGCTACTCGACGGAAACGCGGGCATGGTTAGGCAATCCATGAATCCATCCAGTCGCGAGGTCGGCGGCGCTGCCGGGAGCGGACAGCAGGTTTCGTCGGACGTGTGAGCGCGCAGTGTGGCGCCGCTGCAGCGTTGCCTGCCTGCGTTCATCTTCATCTGCAGTGAGTGCCGCTCAGACTTCAGGGCAGGCTCTCTTCTGCGCTGCCGCTGCTAGAGAAGAGACACTGCTCCAGCTATTTGGCAGCAGTTGCGCCTCTCGATGCCTCCAAGATAGCAACACTCCTGAACCTGACCCTGCGCAGTGCGCAATCAAAGCCAGGCATGGATTCCAAACTGCAGAAGTGCCTAGAGATGGAGCCAAACGAAAAAAACATGGATGATCGGCGAGGCATCGAAAACCACCGCCCAACGTTTTTGAATGTGAGTGATGGGCATAGGAGAATTTCTGAAGAAACGACACTAAGCTTGTCTTTGAGTACTCTTCTTGTCTTTTATCTTTTATTACTGATGACACCACACCTCCACACACGCCAATCCAAAGCTGGTGTGGTCACAATACGTACAATTCACTGTTTTGGGCCCCCCAACAGAGCAAACCAGTTCATCGACGGGCAAAACTACACGCGGTTGACAGCCAAAGGCTGGTCCCCGATTCACACAGCGGGATGATGGAGTTTGAAAGAATGCTTCATCTCATCAGACACTCAAAACTCTATTTACAGACGGCATGCAGTTGAAAAACGGGCACAAACGGTTTCAGGAGGGAGTTCATATGGTGGATTGGCCAACACCTGGACCATTCTCAGACGGTTCATGATGCCAGGACGGGCGGGCGTCTCCAACTTGCAAGGCCCTCACTACTCGGCATTTTCCTCGAGGTGGATAAGCTTCCCACTGATTTTCCTGCGAAAAGGGACCATCATGCAGGTATTAGTAAACCTATGTGACTTCATCCAGCAGATCTAACTGCGCCTAGTAACATCTAGTCATCTAGATTACGAACACTCAAAATTGGAACACCGTGGACAGCACTTTGTACAGACAGAGATATAAGCAGGGTTGTAACAGACAGACCTTTCATGACGAGGTTTCTCGTCGGACAAAACCTTCAGCAGCCTTTCTTCAAAGGGCGTGGCGTGCCAGCTGACTTTCTGGTCCTGACAACAGGGAAATATCAGACTAGCATAAAAGGTGTCGCTCACAAGTCATACCTAACTGCAAAATTTGCAAGGCAAGAGAACAGATGCAAAGCATATATACCTCCTTATATTTGGTTGTGGTATTTGGGATGCCATTGCCGTCCCATGCCTTGGGCAAGACAGGAGTAGGATTGTCGGTTTCCCAGTTCAAACCAAATGTAGGAAAGATAGGCACATCAGAGACGCTCGCCTCATACCATGTCTCCTTCCCAACGTTGCCATCATCAGGGTTGCTGTTGCTCTCGTCATCTGCGGATGGTGGCTTCAGCCAATGAGACAAGCTCGTAACTCTATGCTTCCCATATTCTGAACTTTGCTTCGATGACTCCTCACCTTCATCCAGCAGTTGGTTGACATTCTGACCCTTGGGTTCATCAGGTGACATCACTTCATTCTGCGCTGCATAGTTGTCATAAATTGGGAAGGATACATATTCTAAAGATTCTGTCTCTGTAACGGTAGAACTAGCAAACGTCTGCTGAGCCATCTCGGTGGAATCTGCGCTCAAATTCCTTCTTTTTGGAGGATTGGATGATAACACAGGAGACTCAGCTTTTAGTTCCATCCACTGCATCTTGTTCTCGATGGGTCGCAGAACAGGGTAGATGAACTGTCTGCTAGCCCTCGTACGCTTTCCAGGCTTCGAAGTCTCCTTATAAGCAGTATAGTAAGTTCCAGGAGTCTGAATGTCACCCCTGAGGACCAGAGGGGTTGGATAAGGTGAATCATTAGAATCACTGCTTTGATCTCTAAAATTGTGATATAAAGGCTTGTCCTCTAATGATGACTGAGTTTCTGATCCCACCCTGAGAGTACCTTCATCAATGTCCTGCTCATGTCTCGATATATCATGCTCATCAGAGTTAAGCCTGCATTGAAAATTTGAAATACAAAAGGCACCAAATTATAATCATAGTAAACATACTAGTCCACAAGGAACCACTCATGAAAAGAATGGAAGTGGTTACTTACAATTCGGATGAGTTTTCTTCAAGTAGCACTGCATCTTTCATCAGCTGCACATTGGTTGGTGTGTCACCGCACTGTAAGCCAAAAAAAAAAAAAATTCAGATGGCGAATTTTAGGACAAGCTTGCAGATAAAAGATTCTTACCTCTTTAGCATCTTCTGAATTGATTGGGATTGGATCTAGAATCTCCGGTGGGGTTTGGGATATTGTGCCACATGATTTGAGATAATTGGCCTGGTTGTCATGGAATTCCATAAAAGCGCATTTTAACGAGATTAGCCATTATCATGTAGTGTATATGAAGTAGTTTTCATGAGGCTTCAAAATACAACAGAATTGCAAAAGCTGAAAGATAATAGTAATAATGCATATTGACCTATATACACATAAATAAAGTTGATCTTTGATAAACATTTAAAGGTATTTTGCCTATAAAATCATAAGCCGCAAGTTCACTACTCACAAGTTACAACCAGTAGACAAAATCATCTTAAGATAGCAATACGATTAGATCTCGGGTACCTACCTCACATATATATTGGAACAGGTATTCTCAAAAGGAAATATGTATTGATATGCAACAAACACGTCAAATCTTATTATATTTTCACAATGCCTCGGCATTCTTTTCTTTAGAAGTTGAAATTTAATTGACTGTGAACATAGGTGGAGGCACACATGGAAAAATTAGCATATTTAAATATCCGGTCGTTTGGATGGTGAGGCCGTGAGGCAATCACCTCCAGTGGAGCATGCCCTACTATATGCATGTCTTAAGACGATGGGATTATACTAAAAATAGTGTTTTGATCAGGGTTTCTATATGCATGTCAAAAAAGTAAAAGAAAGATTACAGAACTGCATTTCTACTAATTTACACAGGTCACAGTAGCAATTTAACTGTAGCACAATCTAGTTCCAGTTTCGGAAAAAAACCATAAACATTCTCTTTTTTTATTGGCAAGCGTTGCCTTCTTGGTGCAGCTCATACGGAGTAATATGAGAAAAATGGTGATCAGCAATCAAGAGTCAAACATGGGTCATAACTTCGGTCCACCTATAGTCACCTACTAGCTAATCCTAAATCACACATTTCTTCGGACCTTCTGCATGATAATCACCTTGCAGGGAATGCTTGTAGTAGCCATTCTAGTGCAGGTGATGTATAACATGCTGTAACATCATCATAAACCTGAATTGTGCACCTAAAACCTATCGGACAACAGTTGGTAACAGTAAAGAGATTGTCCGATTCAATTTTCGTCACTGCTCGCCTCCAGTAAGGACCAAACTCAATTACTTAAATACAATTTTACACAGATGAGAACACTGGTTGTGGTTGGTACCTCTCTCCGAAGCTCCTCGTCGATTCCGTGGCCATTAGCCACCTCCGCATCCAGCTTTCCAGTTGCTTCGTCAAACTCTAAAAGGACAATATCGCACGATAAAACCAAGAATTTCCTAACAGGCCTCAAAATTAATTGGAACACCAAAATTTGGCATGGCTCTCAAATATCAAACGTACTTTTCTCGTCGTTCAGGAAGGCGTCCCCCAGGCGGCTCTCCCTCACGAGCGGGTCCTGATCAAAACAAACAGGCAAACCGAATCACATCTCGCCGCTAACACCCACACCAGATCCAAACCGGAAGAAAAAAATTGAGAGACGCGAGGAATCGAGGAGGTCGCAGGTGGATTTGCTCACGCGGAGATCGCCGGACGGATCGGAGCCGCCGCGGAAGCAGGAGAGGAAGCAGCCCATGACGATGCCGGATGCTACAAGGAAACCCAACAGTCTCCGCCGCCGCCGAGGGTTTGGGGTAGGTAGGGTTTAGGGATCGGGGGCGCGGAGGAACGGAAATGGAAAGAGGAGAGGAGGTGGCGAGGGGAGACGGTGGCGGAGGCAGCGGGATTTGAATTGAGGCGGAGGGCGAAGAGGGGAAGCGAACGGGAAGATCCGGCCTGGTCTGGGCCTTGTGGGCCTCAACAGATTAAATGGATGTGCTTCATGGGCCTTGCCGGGAATGCGGTCCGTTAGCAATTCCCATGGGTTTTGACGTTTGGGCCGCGTCTGTACAAGGGTATCGGGAGAGAAGTGAGAACTGTGAACTGACAACCTTCCGTTAGTCCCATATGAGAAGGCAGCTGCATCCGGCATCCTTTCAACTCACCCAGCTGCGTGGTGAGCGCAAAGCGAACTATTCTTTCGCCTTTTACTAGAGAAAAGTAGCATAGGATTATTTTTGGAGATTTCTCAAGCAGGGTACCACGACCTATGTGCACAAGCATATGAGATGGATAGGAAGAACGCACAAGCATATGAGATGGGAACTAACCGAATAAATACTACGGTCAATGTGGCACAAGTATATGAGATGGACAGGAAGAACAACAGAGTAAAGGAGGGGAACTATAGAGCAGAAGGGGCTCTTGCAACAGAGTGCCCGACAATTTAAATCTAAATATTCTTATCATTTGAGTCATAGAGAGAGGAATTCATAAATTCATAAAAGAAAATTTGGATGGTGAGTGCCTAACAATTTGTCTAAATATACTTCTTTGTATTTTACTCATAACACAAATAATAATTACAAGAGAGTGTTCAAAGTCCTTATAATACCGCACTACATGTCAATCTTGCTTTGTACATCTTGCCAAGCCGCAGACGGTTCTAATTTGTTTGCTTCTTGCAACCGTTTTCAGAGCGTTGATCAATTTGGCATCTGCGATGCGATGTGGATTTTGGCACTCGCGGATGTGCATGGTGACTCAGATTACGTGCGCAAAGAGTGCAGAGTTTTGCAAGGACGAGACGTTAAGGCTCTGTCTGAGCAGAGACAGTCAAACATGCAAGTGGAACTGTACAGCATGTGGCACTTGCGCACAGATCGGATGCATATCCTCTCGAGTCTGAGCCATCCGTTGCTTATCCAGATCGAGCAACGCAAACATTTTGGACCCCCACGTGTACAGCAGTAGCATCACATACTACAACTGCTTCAGGCATGTTCCTCTGTCTACTTATTGGTACCTGACATGTGTTATGTTGCCTGATAAAGAAGGGATTTCATTTCACACGCCATATGTTCCGAGCAAGCATGACAGCTCCATCCAGATGAGCGGAACAGCTTCAGATTTGTGGCGAAAAGGCCATTGATGAAACTACAAATTCAGTTCCAAGTGTGAGAGATTGATCGATGGGCGTAAAGCAACTACCCAATCTTTTCTACCGCAAGCACCCATGAATTTTCAAAGATTTCTCAATTTTTCCTACCATTCACCGTCTTCATCGGAAAGTCATAAATACTTTCAAGTGCTCTCACCATAACCATAGCTCTCATAGTTGCCTAATGCTCGTATACACAAGGATCACTCTTATATATGTGTCGCTCATGCCAATTCATGGCCCTATCACGCTACATCTCTCACTTATCCTCGCTTTCTTCTCTACTTGAGCTCCATATCCTCTCCAATGAAGTCATAGTCAAAAGCCACCTGAATAGCCCCCTTCGAAGGTGGGGGCGTCTATAACCCAAACCGGGAGATGGAGAGAGAGTCGTTGTCAATTGTTGGAAAAAAATGCTACACGGTCACTTGATAAATAGCTTGTCTAAATAGTCCACATGTCCTGATCAGGTAGCCCTACAGTGTCCTTTGGCCTGATGGACGACAACACAAGCGACTCTCTTACGAGAGAAGAGTGATGTAGCATGGTCTTGCATGCTAGAAATAGTGTGCTATACTGTCATTACAGTAGCACTACAGTGTTCAGTAGGTAGAATAGAGCCGCTATAGTGTCATTGTATGGACACTACATTTGTCAAAGGACACGGTTGTGGTTGTCCATCCCCTCGCGGTGTCCACCGTAGTGTAAGGATGGAACGTCGCATCGCTTGTGTTGTCGCACATGGTTTTGACTTGCAATTACGCCTGCGGTCTCGGGGAGCAGCATGCACTCTCGCCTGTGCCGAGTCCCAGTTGGGTCCTTCTATAGGATGCCGAGTGGTTGACTTGTGTGCGGAGTTGCTAGGCGTCTTCGTGCAGTAAAGATACCCAAGTTATAGATACTCGTTAATAAGTATCATTGGCTTAATCATGAAATATATTTTAATAAACCTATTTAGATATACAATGTTGATACTATTTTTTTTCTAAACCTAGTAAAATTTGAGATTGGTTCACTTATCAGAAAGTGAGATTTACTATTTTTTCATTTATTAGGACGACGGGTAAGATAATGTAAATGGGCTATTTATTTGGGCATTTTTCTTCCAAATCCTTTTGGAGGCTAAACTATTGCTCCATCCGTTTCAAATTATACAGTGTTTTGATTTTTATGGATACATTGCTTTTATCGTACATCTAGACAGTGTACATCTAAGTGCATAGCAAAAGTTATGTATCTAGAAAAGCCAAAATATCGTATAATTTAGAACGGAGAGAGTATTTTTTTATAGTTTTCATTTAAATATTTCTTTTACTAATTATGTGTCTTACATGGACTCTTTAATTTGGCATTTCTCATTACAACATCACATGGAAAATAACTTACTATAGACTTACCTTTAATTTATTATCCCGAAATTACTACACAAAATAACTGATATTTTGGGTATGTCCTAACACAAAGTTTTACTAAGTTATAAAAAAACTAAGATCCCAAATCACTATTATTAAATTTATCATGAAATATATTTTCGTATCATACCTATGGTCTATAAATGTTGATGTTCATACAAAACTAGTCAAGCTTGAAATGGTTTGCTTAGGACAATTTGTTGGATGGGAGGAGTATTTATTGTATTGGGCATGTTCTGTTTGGTTTTGATTTAGGGCCTGTTTGGATCAATGGAGCTAGTATTTTGCCGCTGATAATTAGCTCCTTTGAATCAAACAGGTCCAGCTAATAGTTTAGCTAATTATTAGTTGAATGTCAATTAATAATTATCTTACTAGTTGAACAAAACCAGCTAATAGTTAGTTGGCATTCAACTAACAATTAGCTAAACTATTAGTTAGATCTGTTTGATCCAAATGAGTTAACTATTAGTTCGATTGATCCAAATAGGCTCTAAATCAAGCCGAGGAAAAGATGCCCAATACAATAAATAAATATTAGCAATGAACTATTAGCTAGCTAACTATTAGCAGCTAATAGATCTAAAGAGCTCCTTAAACCGGTAGATCATCGTAAAATCAAACGATATAGTTTCTTTCCTACTATTAGGGTAGGAATTTCAAGGTTCTCTCGGCCAATATGGTGGCCCTTTTTAGCATTCTTGTATATAATTAGATAATAGATAGTACTCCTATCACAGGAAGAGCACGACGAAACGGAAAGCCCAGTGCCTAAAATGGATTGCACAATAGCAAGGAAAATAAAGCTCCACGCCTTTTCCTCTAAAAAAAAAAGCTCCACGCCTTTCTTGTAAGCAACTCCACAAAAAATTTAACCACAACATTTTCATTTTCATCCCCCATTTTCTACTGTACAAGCCCTAGCCGATTAGCCCCTAGGCTTCGCTTCTGTGAACACGTGGCCCCATCACATCAGAAGACAAATCACATCCGCAACCACAGAATCCTCTGAACACGTGGCCCCATCACGACCCTTTATTTACCCCCTCAGCCACCGCTCATCCCCAGGGTCTCACCCACCAGTCACCCCCAAGCGCACCTGCAACTGCAAGCTGCGGAGGCCGCCACGCCCTCCGAGAGCCAAGCACAATGCCCCCGACCCCCACAGCCGCCGCAACCGGCGCCGTCGTGGCGGCGGCATCAGCGGAGCAGGCGGCGTTCCGCCTCGTGGGCCACCGCAACTTCGTCCGCGTGAACCCGCGCTCCGACCGCTTCCACACGCTCGCCTTCCACCACGTGGAGCTCTGGTGCGCCGACGCGGCCTCGGCCGCGGGCCGCTTCTCCTTCGGGCTCGGCGCGCCGCTCGCCGCGCGGTCCGACCTGTCCACGGGGAACTCGGCGCACGCGTCCCTGCTGCTCCGCTCGGGCGCCCTCGCGTTCCTCTTCACGGCGCCCTACGCGCACGGCGCCGACGCCGCCACCGCCTCGCTGCCCTCCTTCTCCGCCGCCGCCGCGCGGCGCTTCGCGGCCGACCACGGCCTCGCGGTGCGCGCCGTCGCGCTCCGCGTCGCCGACGCCGAGGACGCCTTCCGCGCCAGCGTCGCGGCCGGCGCGCGTCCGGCGTTCGAGCCCGTCGAGCTCGGCCTCGGCTTCCGCCTCGCCGAGGTCGAGCTCTACGGCGACGTCGTGCTCCGGTACGTGAGCTACCCGGACGACGCGGACGCGCCCTTCCTGCCGGGCTTCGAGGGCGTGAGAAGCCCCGGGGCGGTGGACTACGGGCTGAGGAGGTTCGACCACATCGTCGGCAACGTGCCGGAGCTGGCGCCGGCGGCCGCCTACTTCGCTGGCTTCACGGGGTTCCACGAGTTTGCCGAGTTCACGGCGGAGGACGTGGGCACCACGGAGAGCGGGCTCAACTCGATGGTGCTCGCCAACAACGCCGAGAACGTGCTGCTCCCACTCAACGAGCCGGTGCACGGCACCAAGCGCCGCAGCCAGATACAGACGTTCTTGGACCACCACGGCGGCCCCGGCGTGCAGCACATGGCGCTGGCCAGCGACGACGTGCTCAGGACGCTGAGGGAGATGCAGGCGCGCTCGGCCATGGGCGGCTTCGAGTTCATGGCGCCTCCGACGCCCGATTACTATGACGGCGTCAGGCGGCGCGCCGGGGACGTGCTCACGGAGGCGCAGATTAAGGAGTGCCAGGAACTAGGGGTGCTGGTGGACAGGGATGACCAGGGCGTGCTGCTCCAAATCTTCACCAAGCCAGTGGGGGACAGGTAAAAACCTTATCTTTTTCACCTTTTTGCAGTGCATGATGCATGTAGAATTGCAAAGGAACAGTTTTAGGATATGTATTCAGCTAATTCACGGATTGCAGGCATCTAGAATATTCAGTTTAAAGGTATGAAACTCTCTTTTTGTGCCTCCATGCATGATGCATCTTTATGAAGATCGTGACAGCAAAAAGAGGATCCTTTTTGCATCCTGTAAAATATATTCGAGCTCCCAACTGATTACATGATGCACAGCAATCGATTATCATCGTTGGTACTCTGCACTTAATTTTAAAGATTTTGGTTCAGCGTTCTAGTGATGCGGCACTCAACATTCTAGTGATTTCTTACAGTGCCATGGTTATTTCCTCGACCTCTATGCAATCCAAAATCTAATTGGATCAGCTATGTCATTCAGGCCAACATTGTTCTTGGAGATCATTCAAAGGATCGGGTGCATGGAGAAGGATGAGAAGGGGCAAGAATACCAGAAGGGTGGCTGTGGCGGGTTTGGCAAGGGAAACTTCTCACAGCTGTTCAAATCCATTGAGGATTATGAGAAGTCCCTTGAAGCTAAGCAAGCTGCAGCAGCTTGAACAAAAAAAAAGTGTGTTCTTTGTAACACTTGACATGAAAATAGTTATGTTGTATGAACGTTGAATATGAAGAGACGATGCTATGATGGGTGTAATAGCTGGTAGAGAGGATACACACCGAATATTAATGATGCATTATTTGTGTCTTTGTTGTACAAGTTTGCATGAAAATAACGAGGGTCAGTATGAGGCATAATGAATCTGTCCCTGGGATTCTTGTAATCACCTGATGCTATTTTTGTTTATGACAAGGCAGTTGAACTTGACTTCTGTCGTGGTAATCCTGCGGCAAGAATACAACAAATCGTGCATTCATTTCAGTAACTTGAAAGAAGCAGAAGTAAGGCCTTGTTTAGATTGCATTTTTTTTGCAACCTGGATACTGTAGCACGTTTCGTTTGTATTTGACAAACTTTATCCGATCATGGACTAACTAGGCTCAAAAGATCCGTCTCGTGATTTACAACCAAACTGTGTAATTAGTTATTTTTTTATCTACATTTAATGCTCCATGTATGCGTCTAAAAATTGACGTGATAGAGAGAGTGTGAAAAAACTTAGGAATTTGGAGGCAATCTAAACAAGGCCTAAACCAGAAATACAGAATAAGGGCATCTAGACATCTTGTTTGGTGTATCAGGCATTCACGTGTTCATCTTGAGTTCTGTGACCTAGAATAGCACAAAATGGACCCGGCAAAGCCTCTTGTCTATTAGGCCTGTTTGGTTTCCACGTGAGCTCATAAAATTTCTGTCACATCGAATGTTTAATATATGCATGAAGTATTTAATATAGATTAATTACGAAACTAATTGCACAACTTACGACTAATTTACGAGACGAATCTTTTAAGCCTAATTAGTCCATGATTTGACAACGTGGTGCTACAGTAGACATGTGCTAATGACAGATTAATTAGGCTTAAAAAATTCATCTCGTAAATTAGCCTCCATCTATCGGTCTGTTCGTTTCGGCTGGATTAGCTTATAAGCTATGGCTGAAAGTGCTGCTGGCTGGTTTGGTGTGAGAGGAAAACACTGTTGGCTGGCTGATAAGCCAAGGCTTATAAGCCAGATACAGGCTGCCGAACAACATGTATGTAATTGGTTTTGTAATTAATCTATATTTAATGCTCCTTATTAATATCTAAACATTCGATATGACATGAATTTTAAGAGCAACTAAAGAACCAAACACCCCTAGCACTATGCTGTAGATTATTATATATGCATCAATATCAGGTAACTTAAACGTACAGAAATTACTTGAGCCATGGCCATGGAAGGCTGCCATTATTGTCCAGGGATATTATTATATATATGCTGTAGAATTAAAGAATTGCTATCCATCAATATAACATGCTGTAGATCTGTTCCATATATCTGAAGTATTCGTATACTATGCTGTAAATTATTATATGCATCAATATCAGACAACAACTGAAGCACAACTCAAAGTCCAACACTTCAAATCACTTCGATGAAAAGTTCATAAATGCATATAGTAGTTTTACCGTTTGAATGTATGGTTGTAGTTGTACTTAAAGGGTTGCGCCTAAAGAATTAAAGAACTGCTCATCACATCGCTCATCTGAAGCTCGTCACTCAATTTGCCTTTTGCTAGCCATCAAACATTATGTATCATTGAAGAGGTCTCATGCAGAGTAACTCAAAAGGTAACAAAGATTTATCAGAATAGCATCAAAGCATGACCAAAGCATCTAATATAGAGTTGTGTGTATGCTCACCTTATTCTCATGAACAAAACAGCCTGGAGTACGCATGGCAACCCTGCAACGCATCGAGCAGTGGGGCAGTCTGTGATGCTGCAGAGATATCACGGTCCCTCCATTTCTGCATCATCCTCTCGGCATCTGGTGCAACCTGGTGCTGCAGCACTGAAGCAGCCAGCGGTCCGATCAAATTGAGTCTAGTCGCGACAGAGAACACATCCCTCATTGTCACAAACATGTAAGCCCGCTGCGCTGTCTCACTGTCAATTAGCCCGCATATCAACCCAAATATAGGCGCGTGGTGAAATGACACACTCTTGGAACCAAGGAATGTCCGCCGGAGATCCTGCAGTGCTTGAACCTCAGTGAAGACAGATGCAGCCACCCTCAGCAGAGCTGAGCCTTGAGATGTGGATGCCTTCCTCGCAACCTCATTTGTCAATGTAGCTTCCAGCAACTGATCCAACCTGACCCATGCTGCTGCATCAGGGGACTTGCTAGCACAGTATACGAACGGAAGCAGCAGGCTGCCAGTGTTGTCCAGGACCTGGATGACAAATGACTTCAAGTCTTCCTGGTTGTTCACCATGCGAGATTGCATAGCAGCTTCAAGTCCATAGGAATGTGCGAAACCACCGGTTGGGAGAATGGAGTCCAGAATCTGCCACTGGGTCCAATGCAAACTCAGATTCATGTCCACTGCATTGGAAGGCACTTCCTCCATTTCACAATCCACTGAGCGGAACAATCGTGATTTCTTCGAAACTGGGCTACCAGACTCCATTAGCATCAACAGAGTGAAAATGGAACAATCTTCAGTACTGAAAACGGCAAAATTGCAGTAAGGTTAGATTTCGACCCCACAAAAAGAACACATTGCCCAGAAAACTCTGGAGATTTACACACAAGTATCTAAAAGTATCTTGGCTCTAACGCTCCTCACATGGAACACATCTTCCATTGACTCGTTCAGTGACGACTGACGAGTGAACAACTCAAGATAGAGGCATAGAGATCGCAGCTAAGCATTGCATCGAACACCCTGGGATCGTGAGTTATTCATATAGCATGATAGAACCCTTCGCACTAACTTGGTCAAGAATTAACACGCACCTACGTAAGCTTTTCAACAAGGATAGAACCTTTGGAGGGAGCCAACTGAGCAAGTGAATTGGAGCTAACTGTTTACTCCAAGACGCAGAAGGTCGTCAGGGAGCGATTGCGACTGGCGAGGGCTACTCGCCTTACAGGTCTCCATGGAACAAGAAGTTGCTGCGCCGATCCACCGGCCACGGAGTCCCTCGAGTTCGAAGACGGGGGTTGACCATTGACGCCTCCCCGCGAGCGCGAGCGGCGGTGCCGCGGATCATCAGAGAGGAGAGAAGCAGGGAGACCTCCTAAAAGGCGCGATCCTACTCTGTCAGGTCCATAACACCTCACAGCCCATGTAGGCTCAATGGACCTCTGGGCTTCTGGCCCATTGTCCCACGTATCTACCTTCCAAGGCTTCTCTTAAGCCCAGACCCCAGCCTCCCGAGTTCCCTAGGGCAGCCGAGCACACCGCCGCAGGCCTCCTCCCATCCCCGATTTTTTTTTGTTTTTTAGCCTTTTTTTTTTTGAAATTTTTTCACAAATATGCCCTGGAGGTATGCTTTAAAATCTGAATCTTTAGCTCGGCATCATCATGTATTAGCATATTTTCACAAACATTTTCAAGGATGTTAGCTTCCCACTAGATCCTAAATGCATATGCAATGAGTTCGAGCATCTAGTGGCACCTTAATAAACGCGTTTCGATACGAGTTTTACTCCTCTTAATAGTACGGCTATCGATCTTAAATGTGATCACTCTCTCTAAGTGTCTTGATCACTAAAATAAAACGCTCCTATCAATTTCATCTTTGCCTTGAGCCTTTTATTTTTCTTTCTTCTTTTTCAAGTCCAAGCATTTAATCATCACCATGCTATCACCATCATCATGTCATGATCTTCATTTGCTTAATCACATGGAGTAGTGCTACCTATCTCATAATCACTTTGATAAACTAGGTTAGCACTTAGGGTTTCATCAATTCATCAAAATCAAACTAGAGCTTTCAGCCGGCCACCGCGCCCGTGCCCGCGCCGTCCCCCGCCGTGCCAGCCGCGCGCCGTCCCTCCTAGCCCGCGCCGCCTCGTCCGTCTTGGCTCGCCGCGTCCTCACCGTCGATCTCGTCCTCCGCGTCCCCGTCCTGCTCCGGTCCCAACGTCCGTGTCCGCGTCGCATCGTTGCATTGACTTGGATAGGTAAAATTTTTGAATATGCAATGTAGGTACTTAGTTAGCTTGAATTGTAGTGCTACTTTGATTATTTAGTAGTTTCTAGTAAATTTGATGATGTAGGTAGTTGATTTAATTAGTGAGATATGTATAGTTAGATAGCTAGTGACATAGGTACATAGATATAGTTATTAGATAGTTAGTTGATTTAGTTGGTGAGATAAATATAGTTAGATAGCTAGTGATATAGTTATTTAGGGTGTAGTTGGTTAGTATCTATTAGATAGGTACTATATAGCAGCTACTTTGGACTAAACGAACTGTATTTCAATTTTTGTTTGAACTACTAGATGGACAACTTCCGCTGTCACCCTCGCCACCACCACCACTAACAATGAGAGGCTACTGTGGAGAAGGTGCAACACAATTTGTTATGTGGCCACACTACTAGAACGATCATATCTTATTCACATAGCACATACATATGTTTGTTGTTTGGTTTAATTATTTAAGACATGTTATGTTTAGTCGAAGAAACTATGTACCTTTATTTGGTATATGTTCTCACATGCCATTTCTTATGCTTGTTGTTCACTTCAATTACCTAAGTCATGTTAGGTTTAGTTCAGGACCTCTATACCCTAGTTCGGTACATATTCTCACATGTTATTTCATGTATTTTATGTGTTGAATTATATAATGCCCTACTTCGTTAGGTTTTATTTGCAGCGCGTAATTACATTTCACTACGTCCGTAGTATTAAACTGAATATTATGACCACAAATAATGAAAAATAGCTATATAATTAAAAGTCCAATACTATGACACATTAAACAACAAAATAATAGTATAAGTACGTGTCGACAAACTAAATAACGCAGTACATGACCTAAGCATACCCATACTTAAAGTGAATTACATGACAACACAATGAAAAGTCTAACAGTGGCAGCATTATTCAAGAATAAACCATAGAACTAGCAAGTAATGGAGACTACTGAGTACAACGAGACCACTTTTCCTTTCTCAGAGCATCGGGATTCTCCTCCATCGCTGCTTTCGCGCGGCATGCACGCTCAAGCTTCTTCTCCCTCTCCTCCCTGTACGCAGCAACACGCCTCCTTTCCTTCTCTTTCTTGTGCTCCTTTTTTGCAGCCTTCTCTCCGCGTCTCGTTTTCATCATCTCCTTGTCCTCTACCTCCCACCGCAACAGTTCCTGCATCCATTCCTTGTCTTCAGGCTTGATCTTAGTATCGATCAATTCCTTATCTTCAGAGCGGTGGAGGGGTCTGCAAAAAATACAATTGTTATAAAATAAAAAAATAATGCAAGATGTCACATGACACAAACATCAATTCCTCATCATCTTGTTAATACGGCGCTGACGAAGTGTAGGCTCAAACGTAAAATTGGAACACATCCAATACCTTTACCTATACGTGTCATCTTCATCGGACTTGGCTATCTTGCAAGGATCGCCGTAAAAGTACATGGGCACTAGAACACCACTAGGTAGAGGCAATAGGACAAAGACATTTCCGGTCATCCGATTATAACTACAATTTAGCCATTTTCATTCTAAAAACCAAAAGCAATTAACATTAAATTCTACACCTAGGGTTTCCTATTTGATCCACAACAATAAACCCATATCATAACAATGTGCGCTGATGTTACCTTGATTTGGTAGCTTTTTCACGTCTTGACATTCTACGGTCGTATAATATAAATCTTAAAATTGCATGAAACCGTAAGTAATAATGATTCTTAAATTAAAAATCCGACTAATATATACCGAATCGATTTGAAAAAAACTAGGAGGGAGCGAGGATACCTTACTCTCGAAGATCTACAGATCAAATCAAAGTTTTGAAGGTTCAATATGTCGATTCGTGAGGTATGGCGAAGTGGGGAGAGAAAAAACCCGAGAGGGAGGAGAAAGAAGAGGAAGAAAGCTCGGGCAGAAAGGTTGGGCGCCGGATTAAAACACCACATTGGCGCCATAGATCTTGGCGCCGTTCTTGGCGCTAATAACCACGGCGTGAAGCTCGACGCCAAGATCTACGGCGCTAAGGTGCCTGCCAAGTCACCGCCACATCTGTGCCGAGCCATGGCGCCAAGACGTATAAGCTCGACGCCACCGACGATGGCGCCGAGTTAAGTATCCAGATTTTAAAAGCATACGTAGGCATATTTGTGAAATTTTTTTCAAAAAGGGCTTAAAAAAGAAAAAATTCGGCCTCCCATCGCCGCTCCGCCGCACGCCGGTGCTGGATCCTCGCTGCCCCCGCCGCGCACACTCCGCCGAAGCCCCGCTCCACCGTCGCTCCGGTGGAGTGGAGTTGAGCGGAGCGGAGATCCGTCCGCACTTGCACTGATTTGTCAGGTATCTTGTGAGTAACCCTAGCTCGCTCGCCTGGATGGATGCCCTTGTGCTAGGAGGGTGTTCATCGCATTCTCCTACCAGTGGAATCTAAGTCTCGATTTGAGGGCTGCATGATGCCGTGCGGTACTAGTGCAGTTCAATCTAATCCATCTATGGTTCGATCAGGTGTTGTTCATCAGTGTGGGAGATCAGCATTAGTGGCTCCGCTCTATAGAATACGTTTTGGTACCCTAGATGCAGTTGTAGTTGACTTTCCATAAATTATTTTAGGGTGACCGAATCAGTTTTGTATTTGTTTCTCCTACAATTTAGTTGCATGTCCACTAGGAATTCTATCTACTCCCATATCGTAACATCAGACAGTGGACTGTTATGGATAGGGTTATCGCTTGCTTATTGCATGTTTTTTTGCCTATATTAATTTTTGTTGGTTACCCGCTGCCTATCTACAAAGTACAAACAACAAACAGACAAGTGTTCATTGTTCTGTCCTTCTACGTTATGCATAAGTGTGGTTCTGTCCTTATTTTATGACATGCATACAACTTTTTTTCCTGTTTTGTTGGTTATATACTGTCTTTGATCCTCACGATTGTCCTTTATCCATTTTAGAGAGCATTTCTCATGCCTATGGACCCATTTAATTTGTAGCTAGCTTGTTTCATTACATTGCTTTTGATCCTTGTGATGGCTTAGTTGGTCCATTATTTTAATTAGTGTAGCGCATAATACAATTGTTCATGAGGGCAGTTTGTTTCGTTACATTGCTTTTGATCCTTGTGATGGCTTAGCTGGTCCATTATTTTAATTAGTGTAGCACATAATACAATTGTTCATGAGGGCCACCTATTCTTGATGAACCCATGTGACACATATACTTCAATTTGAGGCTATTAGCTAGCAAGCATTTAATTTTGGGATAGTTTGTTTGATTCTCTAGTAAATGTGGTTGTTTTATTGGAGGTTATCAACATGTTTAAACTATAGCTGCTTTTTAATTTCATTGATAGGGATGGTATGGGATTTGGAATTCATATTATTGGACATTATATTCATTGTTCTTAAAATGGGTGACATGGATATGAGTATTTTTAAAACAAAATTTATGATTTGGAATTTGGAACTTTAACAAAAATCCAATGCCATACCTTTTTTTTTGCTAATAGATGGATCGAGAATGGATGTACGGCTACTGTGTCAGCCAGCGGTTTTTGAACGGTGTCAACTCCTTTATCCAGGCGGCTAAAGCTTATGTCGCACGTCATCCACGGGATAAAGGCTACGTGTCCTGCCCATGCAGGGACTGCAAGAATTTGAAGCTATTTTGCAACCTTGAGCTGATACAAGCTCACTTGATTACCCGGGGTTTTGTGGAAGATTATAAGATATGGCATAAACACGGGGAAAAGGATGACAACGTAGCGAATGACCAGGGTGGCGATGATGAGAGCATCCAGACGAAGGAGGTGTCAAGATGGCACAAGTGGTTAATGAGCTAGGGGTGCCACGAGCTAGGGGTGCTGGTGGACAGGGATGACAGGGTGTGCTCTTCACCTAGCCGGTGGGGGACAGGTAAAAATGTTATCTTTTTCACCTTTTTGCAGTGTATGATGCATGTAGAATTGCAAAGGAACAATTTCATGACATGTATTCAGCTAATTGACGGATTGCAAGCATATAGAACATACAGTACAAAGGTATGAAACTCTTTTTGTGCCTCCGTGCATTTTTATGAAATATAGTGATAGCAAAAAGAGCATCGTTTTGCTTCCTGTGAAACATATTCGAGCTCCCAACTGATTACTTGATGTTCTGCATGGAAATGGGGTTTCCTCGATTAAAAAAAAAACTGATTACATGATGCACAACAGTCGATTATCATCGTTGGTACTTTACTCAATTTTGAAGATTTTGTTTCAGCATTCTAGTGTTGATGCTGTGATGCGGCACACATTCTAGTGATTTCTTACTGCATCAGTGCCATGTTTATTTCCTCGACCTCTATGCAATCCAAAATCTAATTGGATCAACTATGTCATTCAGGCGAACATTGTTCTTGGAGATAATTCAAAGGATTGGGTGCATGGAGAAGGATGAGAAGGGGCAAGATTACCCGAAGGGTGGCTGTGGGCTGTGGCGGGTTTGGTAAGGGAAATTTCTCATAGCTGTTCAAATGCATTGAAGATTTATGAGAAGCCCCTTAAAGCTAAGCAAGCTGCAGCAGCTCAGGGATCCTAGAACAGAGCTTGAAGACGAGCGATGGTTGTGGTACTTTGTATCATGGATCAAAAATAAAAAAGTGTGTTATTTGTAACACTTGACATGCAAATGTTTGTGTTGTATAATCGTTGAATGTGAAGAGACGATGCTATGATGGGTGTAATAGATGGTAGAGAGGGTATAACCCTAACATTAATGATGCATTATTTGCGTCTCTGTTGCACAAGTTTGGATGAAAATAACGAGGGTCAGTATGAGGCATAATGAATCTGTCCCTGGGATTCTTGCAATCACCTGATGCTATTTATGTTTATGAGAAGGCAGTTGTCCATGACTTCTGCCGAGGTAATCCTGTGGCGAGAATACAACAAATTGCTCACTCATTTCAGTAACCTGAAAGAAGCAGAAGTAAAACAGAAATACAGAATATCTAGACATCTTGTTGGGTGTATCAGGCATTCACGTGTTCATCTTGAGTTCTGTGACCTAGAATAGCACAAAATGGACCTGGCAAGCCTGTCGTCTACTAGTAGCACTACATATATGCATCAATATTAGGTAACAACTGCTATGCATCAGTATAGTATGCTGTAGATCTGTCCCGTAGATCTGATGCCAGTGTTTGTATACTATGCTGTAGATTATTATATGCATCAACATCAGACAACTACTTAAGCACAACCTTTTTTTTCCAGAATGGCCAAGACGAATTTCATTACTATTGTAACGGAAGTACAAAGTTGCACATGTAACCGAACAGAAAACAGAAGAACTACAAAAAGCAGAAAACGCCGATGAGACAGATAACTTAAGCACAACTTAAAGTCCAACACTTCAAATCACTTAGATGGAAAGATCATAAATGCATATAATGTTTTGAATGCATGGTTGTAGTTGTAGTTAAAGGATTGCACCTAAAAAATAATAATTAAAGAACTGCTCATCACGTCCTTGATAGAGGACATCACTCATCTGAAGCTTGTCACTCAATTGCCTTGCTAGCCATCAAACATTATGTATCATTGAAGATGTGTCATGCAGAGTAACTCAAAAGGTAGCAGAAATTTATCAGAGTAGCATCAAAGCATGACCGGAGCATCTAATATAGAATTGTGTGTATGCTCGAAGATTATACGAAGGTAGCACACCTTATCCTTATTCTCATGAGCAAAACAGCTTGGAGAACATGTAAGCATGGCAACCCTGCAATGCATCGAGCAGTGGGGCAGTCTGTGATGCTGCAGAGACATCACGGTCCCTCCATTTCTGCATCATCCTCTCGGCATCTGGTGCAACCTGGTGCTGCAGCACTGAAGCAGCCAGCGGTCCGATCAAATTGAGTCTAGTCGCGGCAGAGAACACATCCCTCATTGTCACAAACATGTAAGCCCGCTCCGCTGTTTCACTGTCGAATCCAACTAGCCCACATATCAACCCAAATATAGGCGCGTGGTGAAATGACACGCTCTTAGAACCAAGGAATGTCCGCCGGAGATCCTGCAGCGCTTGAATCTCAGTGAAGACAGACGCAGCCACCCTCAGCAGAGCTGAGCCTTGAGATGTGGATGCCTTCCTCGCAACCTCGTTCGTCAATGTAGCTTCCAGCAACTGATCCAGCTTGACCCATGCCGCTGCATCAGGGGACTTGCTAGCACAGTACACGAACGGAAGCAACAGGCTGCCAGTGTTGTCCAGAACCTGGATGACAAATGACTTCAAGTCTTCCTGGTTGTTCACCATGCGAGATTGCATAGCAGCTTCAAGGCCATAGGAATGTGCGAAACCACCGGTTGGGAGAATGGAGTCCAGAATCTGCCACTGGGTCCAATGCAAACTCGGATTCACGCCCGCTGCATTGGAAGGCACTTCCTCCATTTCACAATCCTCTGAGTGGAACAACCGTGATTTCTTCGAAACTGGGCTACCAGACTCCATTAGCATCAACAGAGTGGATGGAACAATATTCAGTACTGAAAAGGGCAAAATTGCAGTAAGATTAGGTTTTGATCACACAAAAAGAACACAATGTCCAGAAAACACTGGCGATTTACACACAAGTATATACAAAGTATCTTGGCTCTAACGCTCCTCACATGGAACACATCTGCTATTGACTCGTTCAATGATGAATGAACTACTCACAGGAAACCAGAAGCTACAGTTGAGGGGGTTCATGAACTCCTCACTTCAGAAGGTTCTGCTTGGAATGAACAGTTTAAAGGAAAAATTCCTCGTGGCTGATGCAAAGGCAATCCAGAAAATTCCACTTGGAAGCTTGAAGGAGGATATGTGGGCATAGGGTGTGGAAAAAATGGCATATCGATTAATATCCCTCTCAATGCGAATGTTGGAACAGAATAAAACAAACACTGCAAATTCTTCAGCAAGTGAGGAAAATCCAGTTTGGAAAAAGATATGGATGCTAACAATCCCTCCCAAAGTGATGTTTTTTTTTTGGTGGTGGGTAATGCATAATTATGTGCCAGTGAAAGAAAATCTGATGGAAAGGCATATCAAAACTCAAGGTACATGTCCTGACTGTGGTGTTCAAGATGAAATTGTTTATCATGTTTTAATTATTGTACTTTTGCTACCATGTTTTGGCAGTCCTATGAACTGTATAATATTAAATTACCTAAATTGCATCCTGCTACATGGTGCTTTGATTTACTGGATAATTCATTGTCCTGCTCCAAACCGTGGACCAATTTTATGTGGAATGTGGGCAGATTGGGCAGCGCACAATGAAAGACGCCATGGGGAAACAAAAATGAATTTGATACAGGCCTGTAGGTGGGTGAAAGAATTATCTTCTGATCTAATCGTTTCCAGTGAATCTATGTCAGAAAAGAAGGACAATGCACAAATTATGAATTGGAAGCTACCTCCTGCCCGATTTGTGAAGATCAACGTGGATACTACTTTCAAGGCGGAAAGTCAGCAAGTTGCTACTGGGGTGATTATTCGAGATGAAAATGGTCAGGTTCTAGCAGCCAAATGCAAATGGTATGGCTCGATCCCAAATATTCCCTCTGTTGAAGCCTATGCTGCACGTGATGGGGCTGTTTTGATGGATTTGCTGAATCGGCCGAAGGTAATGATGGAAACTGATAGTTTAGAGATGCAATCCTTGTGGAGAACTAATGATAATAACAAGTCGACTATCCTGCCTGTTCTAAATGAAATTCAAGAGCATATAGGGAGATGCATGGTTTTTGAATTATCGTATGTCAAGAGAGGCAAATATAGTAGCCCATGATCTTGCTAAGTTTGCCTCGATTTCATGTTTGAACGTACTCGGATGTCGGATGTACGAAACCCTTAAATGTATTCTCCAAAGTATTCAGCATGACTGTAATGTTGACCTTTAATATAAGATAGAGGCACAGAGCTCGCAGCTAAGCATTGCATCGAACACCCTGGGGTCATCAGTCATATAGCTATAATCCTGGGTACCAAGCCACCAACTTGACCAAGTATCTACCACAACTTTTCAAGAAAGATAGAACCTTTGGAACCATCTGAGCAAGAATTGGCGAGTACATGAGTTGCTTACTTGCTTGCTTGGACAGAAATGCGTACTCCAAGACGCTGAAGGTCGCCAGGGAGCAGTTGCTAGGGCTAGCTCGGCTTACAGGTCTCCGGGCAACCAAGAAGTTGCGGCTATAGAGTCCCCCGAAGTCGAAGATGGGGGTTGACCGTTGACGCCTCCCCGCGAGCGCGAGCGGCGGTGCCGCGGATCAGAGAGAGCCAGAGAAGACTCAAGAGAGTCAGAGGAGAGAAGCGGGGAGACCTCTTTTTTCCCGAGCACGCCAAAAAAAAAAAAAAAGGGCGGTCCAACTTCTAACTCCTTAAGGCCCATAACACCCAGCCTATGTAGGCTCAATAGACCTCTGGGCTGCTGGCCCATTGTCTCGTCTCATCACCTTCCAAGGCTCCTCTTAAGCCCAGACCCCAGGCTCCCGAGTTCCCTAGTGCAGCCGAGCACACCGCCGTCGGCCTCCTCCCATCCCCGCTCCGCCGCCCGCTGGTGCCGGATCCTCGCTGCACCCGCCGCGCCTCCCTCCGCCGAAGCCCCGCTCCACCGTAGCTCCGGTGGAGTGGAGTTGAGCGGAGCGGAGATCCGTCCGCTCGTCTGTTTTCGAGTGAGTAACCCTAGCTCGTTCGTCTGGATGGATGCCCTTGTGCTACGAGGGTGCTCATCGGATTCTCCTGTCATTGGAAGAAGTCTTGCTCCACACAGTTAGTTGTAGATTTGAGTGCTGCGTGATGCCGTGAGCTACTAGTGCAGTTCAATCTGATCCATCCATGGTTCGATCAGGTGTTGTTCATCAGTGTGGGAGATCAGCATTAGTGGCTCCGCTCCATATAATATGTTTTCGTACCATAGATGCAGTTACAGTTCACTAACCACAAATTATTTTAGGCGTTTTGTTGGCCCTCAACGTTCTGTTTGTTGCTCTGTGTTAGGTGACCGAATCAGTTAGGTTGTATTTGTTCCTCTTACAATTTAGTTGCGTGGCCACTAGGAATTCTATCTACTCCCATATAGTAACATCGGACAGTGTTATGTATAGCGTTATCACTTGCTTATTGCATATTTGTGCCTATATTAATTTTTGTTGTTTGCCTGTTGCCTATCTACAAACGCACAAGTGTCATTGTCTTGTTTATCTTTTACGTCATGCATAGTATATTTTCCTTTTTTTTGTGGCGTGTACACACATTATAACTGTAGCTGCTTTATGTCATCGTAATAATAATTGAAATTTAAGTTGCCATTGTAATGATATTGTTTGTACAAGTAACAGTACTCCATTGTAATGATACTCAACTTTGAGCCATGAAGTGCATCCCTTTTTCTGTCTGCTGAGCATGACTCTGGAGTTAAATGATTGGTATCCTTGTTAGGATTTCCTGCAGAAAAAAAAAATTAGGTTCATATCATAAATAATCTCACCATTGTTTAATCTTTCCTGCCACTGCTAAGTGCTTTATGCATATACCAGCAATTGAAAACTCAACAATACGGATCTGTTCGTTTAAACTGTCTGCTGTTAAACTAGTCTCATTACCTATTTTGTTTTCCTGCAGAACATTGTTGAATTCTCTGAAGTGTGAGCTCTGGTAAAGGCTTGCTAAAATGGCAAATTTAAACATAACCAACATCTTGGAGAAGGTAACCCCTGAACTAATTTGCATGAAGTTGGGTTCCACTATGCATCCTTTTGACTTCTAAAGTACTTTGTTAAATGCCCGTACAGATGATAGGGAAAGATAAAGACTACAGATATATGGCAACATCAGATCTACTTAGTGAATTGAATAAAGAAAGCTTCAAAGCTGATCAAGACCTTGAGCCAAAGTTAACAATTACTGTTCTTCAACAACTCGAGGATGCTTCGGGAGATGTTTCTGGTTTAGCTGTTAAATGGTATGCTGCAGTTTTTAGTTTAAAATACCCTTAACCATAAATCCATCATATACAATCTCATACTATGACTTTGTTCCCGGCACTTCTTTTTAATTTTTGGGTCTATGTTCAAACAATCTTTTATAAAAATATGAATCCACATTTCTCAATGTTGTTGGTAATTGGGGTGCAAATTATGCATTTCTAAGATCTCCTGGCTGCCAGAATTTGGGAGCATGTTGATGTTGCTACTTTACTGTTCTGAATTGTTGTCAGTGGTGTATTAAGTTAGCCTTCTATTTTATAATGAGTAGACTTGCATTTGCTGGGTATAATGTATCACGTTGTCATGCCTTGGTAATTGCATTGTGTGAGCACTTCAATGCGTGAGAATTTGTTATTTGTTGTTCTATTATGTTCTTTCCACAGTTCTTGCTTTCTGCATTTTGTGGTATTGGCTAACTCTTGTAATGTCGTCTTTGTAGCTTGGCTCCACTCATCAAGAAGGTTGGTGAGGACAGGGTTGTGGAGATGACCAATAAACTTTGTGATAAATTGATCAATGGAAAGGACCAGCATCGAGATACAGCTAGTATAGCCCTGAAGACAATCATTGCAGAAGTTACTACACCATCACTTGCTGAAAAGATTTTGCTTTCTCTTGCCCCACAACTCATCAAGGGTGTCAATACTGTAAGCTTTCTACCCGAGTGCCAAATATTCTACATTTTCAGGCCTGTATTTTTTCAGACCACTCAAAATGTTCACTGTGAAGCCTTTGATTTCAAAGCTTTCTAGTTATGAGTTGTAATGTTAAATTTTTCCTATCTCAGCTAAATGTTCTGTATGTATTGCAACAAAAATGAGCTGAGGTGTAGACCGTTTGTTTAGACAGCATCATAAGCATATAAACATGTAACTATGATGTTGAAGCTATTTAATTATCCAACAGCTAGCAATTTCAACCACCATTGTTAGCAGCACTGTTGACGTGCCTTTTCTTTTTTCTTATATAAATAAAAAAAAAAGTCATGTCTCTTCAGAACCTAAAGCATATAGTTTTTTCAGGCTGATTATCAAAGATAAACAGCTACAGAAACTTTTAAGTTCTCTAGATATTAAATTTTGTCCACTACAATGGAGGTAATGTTAATGTGGTTACTAAAAGTATAATCAAGTTGGTTCTTTGAAGACAAGTATGATGCTGCTGTTTAGCAACAGAATCTTCTCAAAAAAGTGGCATTAGAATATGCTCACAGCTTAGCTAATTCATATGAGAATGTTTGAAGTTCATAGAATAATAGTAGGATTGAAGTTCTGCATAGTGTATGCGATTACTGGTGTATTTTGTTGCTTTCTTAATTTTTCTTGTTAGAGTACATTTGGAATGGATGTATTGTATGATAGTTTCACCACCTATTGCGGCAAGTAAGAATGTATTTTGTACATTTCTTGATTGTACAGCACATAAATGTTTTTGTTGTCGCATGGCTCAACGTGTAGTTAAATGTAACCCCTCATCTGTTGGCAGGCAAAAGGTGCTGAAATTAAATGCGAATGTCTTGATATATTGGCGGATGTGCTTCATAGATTTGGCAACTTGATCACAAAAGATCATGAGTATATGCTCACTGCACTTCTATCCCAATTGGGTTCCAACCAAGCAAGCGTCAGAAAGAAGTCTATTTCTTGCATTGGTAAGTCAACACGCATTTGATTTATTTGTACTTATTGTGCTTTTCATAGTCTTGCAAATGTTTTCTAGTTCTTATGATCTCATAAACATATCTAGGTATTTATAACCACAAATTGTCTCTGTTTTGTAGCATCGCTTGCTCCAAGTTTATCAGATGATTTGTTAGCGAAGGCAACTTTGCAAGTTGTCCAGTTGCTGAAAAATAGAGGTGCAAAATCTGAAATTACCCGAACAAATATCCAGATGATTGGTTCTCTAAGGTACTTGTTTATCTCAAAATTTTGGAGGCTAGCCACCATTAGTAATTGGAAGGGATATGTGAGTTAAAAAAAAATTATATTTTTTTTCTCGATTACTTTGAATGTGCTTTACGTTAGCAGTAAATGTTTTGTTTGCTTCCACTGTGGGTTGAGATTACAAAGTTATCGAATCTTGTCTGATACTGAGGCTTCCTCTAACATTATGCGTTCTGACATGCAGTCGTTCTGTGGGGTACCGGTTTGGGCCACACCTTGCTGAAACTGTTCCTCTGCTTATAAGCTATTGTACAAATGCATCTGAAAATGATGAAGAGCTTCGTGAATACAGCTTGCAGGTGTGAATCTGTTTTGTTTTAACATTTGTTTTGTATGTGTGTTCTCTGAATTAGCTCTAACTCTTTCTGTCATATAGGCTCTTGAGAGCTTTATGCTCAGGTGCCCAAGGGATATATCCCCATATTGTGAGGGCATTCTGAATCTTGCTTTGGAATATGTGAACTATGATCCTAATTTCACTGATAGCATGGATGAGGATACTGATGAGGAAGGGCAGGAAGAGGATGATGACGAGTACGTCACTATTATGCTTACAGGGATTTCCACATTAATTTGCTCAGTCCATGTAATTAAAACTTTTAACGTTTTGTCCCAGTGAGAGTGCAAATGAGTACACAGATGATGAGGATGCAAGCTGGAAAGTCCGTAGGGCATCAGCAAAGTGCCTATCTGCAATTATAGTGTCTCGTTCTGAAATGTTGTCTAAGATGTATCTAGAGGTTTGTTGACATCAATAATTATATCTATGGCATATTGTTTTCAATGTTTTTGAGATGACGTTTACTAATAAATGCCACAAAGATGAGTCTAATAATTTGTCTTCAATACTTGTTAAGGAAATACCTTCTGTGATTTTTTTGAAATATATATTTCGTTCTGTGCAGGCTTGTCCAAAGTTAATTGAACGATTTCGGGAAAGAGAGGAGAATGTAAAGGTAAATACATGACTAAATTTGTATATAAAACTTTAGTTGTCTTAATTTCTAAATCTTATGAAGCTTCTATCTGATTCTAGATGGATATCTTCAACACCTTCATTGAGCTCTTACGCCAAACTGGTAATGTAACGAAAGGACAAGGCGACATTGATGAGTCCAGGTGAGGCTCATCGAACTTTAGTTAGAAAAACTGGTGCCATGTTTGTTCTTACTATAACGTGGAAATCTGGTCCCCAATACTGGGCACTAGATATGAATGTATATGTTGCCTTTGTTGCTATGCTTAGCAGAAAAGGTCTGCATTTAGATTGCATGTTCTGGCTCCTGTCCCCATGCATCATTCTGTTTTGCTTTGCAGTCCTCGATGGTTGCTGAAGCAAGAGGTGCCAAAAGTCGTCAAGTCTATCAACAGGCAGTTACGTGAAAAATCAATCAAGACAAAGGTTAGTCTTTCAGTTATCCTCCAACTCATGGTTCTGGAACTGTAAGTCTGATTATATTCCCAACATTTTCCAGGTTGGGGCATTTTCAGTACTGAAGGAGCTTGTGGTTGTATTACCAGACTGTCTTGCTGATCATTTTAGATCACTTGTTCCTGGGATTGAGAAGGCTTTGAATGTTAGTAGTGACTTTCACCCCCTAATTTTTTTGAATAAAAACTTTCAGCCCCTAATAAACTTGTTGTGAAACCATTTTTTTTAACTTATTGTCAATTTGACAGGACAAGTCTTCTACCTCCAACCTGAAGATCGAAGCCCTTGTATTTACAAGGCTTGTTATGGCTTCACATTCTCCATCTGTGTTTCATCCATACATCAAGGTACAGTCTATCAGTGTTCTGTAGAATTTAAAGACCGTTGGAGTGGCTGCTGATTGCAAATCAAATTTCCAGGCACTTTCTGCCCCTATACTATCTGCTATCGGAGATAGATATTATAAAGTCACTGCTGAGGCTTTGCGGGTGTGCGGAGAGCTAGTCCGTGTCCTTCGCCCAAATCTCGAGGTCATATTGTATTCCTTGTCTTGCGGACATGAAGTACCCTGTTATCTTATTTTTATTTTATTTTATTTATTTTTGTTGTTTTGTGGTGCAGACAAGCTCAGTCGATTTCAGGCCATACATTGGTCCAATCTATAAAGCTATACTGGGGCGTTTGGCTAATCAAGATCAGGATCAGGTTTGGCGAAATTCTCTTCTGTCTTCTCCCACTCCCTCTCTTGTGTGCTTGCGGTGCACTCATTTATTATGCAAATTTATGTTCTCCCAGGAGGTAAAAGAATGCGCCATATCTTGCATGAGTCTGGTGGTCTCTACTTTTGGTGACGGTCTTCAAAGAGAATTACCAGCATGCCTTCCCATACTCGTCGATAGGATGGGTAATGAAATTACAAGACTTACAGCTGTCAAGGTAAGTTTTTGACTGCTTGCGTGTGATACCAATACTTAATTTTGAGATTTAACATCGTGCAATGCTTGTTTATGGCATGTTTTATGTTAAAGCACAAATGCTGAAACACTTGATTAAGGATATCTAATATTGAATACTTTAATCATACATATTGCTATCTGCTTATGCATGGGAATATGTTGTCTATTTTTATTTGTTCCTTATTTTCATGAACCATCTCAATGACCTAATATTATTTTCATGATGTTATTCTGCTGTGGTACCTAAAATGTTTCACTTTACAGGCATTTTCAGTTATTGCGAATTCACCTCTTCGTATTGATCTCTCGTGTGTCCTGGATCATGTTGTTTCTGAGCTCACAGCTTTCCTTCGTAAGGTACTTGCATAGTTGCATGGATCTTTGCTGCCTTCATTTGATTTATATTTTCTCTGAAAAGCATTAGCTTGGGTAGCAAAGTGATAAAGCCTTCATTATTTCTCTCTTATGTAACAGGCCAACAGAGCTCTTAGGCAGGCAACATTGGGAACTCTAAATTCTTTGGTTATCACATATGGTGGTCAGATTGGCTCTTCTTCATATGAGACGATAATCGCGGAACTTTCAACCCTCATAAGGTTTTTCCTTGCATTATTATTCTTCCTTTTGCATATGCCCTGCCATGACTACTGATGCTGACTTGTATTTTATTTGTGATAGTGACATGGATTTGCATATGACCGCTCTTGCATTGGAACTTTGTTGCACAATAATGGTTGACAGAAAATCCATTAAAAATGTTGGTTTAGCTGTGAGAAATAAGGTTTTGCCTCAGGCCCTTGTTTTGATCAGGAGTGCCCTCTTGCAAGGGCAGGCACTACAGGTACGCCCCCCGCCCCGGATCTGAACACTTGATTTCTTAGGTGGCTACTAACATGTGATGATTCATTTTGTTACAGGCTCTTCAGAGTTTTTTTGCGTCACTTGTTCAATCTGCAAATACTAGCTTTGATGCTTTGTTGGATTCCCTTATTTCTGCTGCGAAGCCATCACAGTCCGGTAGTCTTGCCAAGCAAGCACTGTCTTCTATTGCTAAGTGTGTTGCTGTTCTATGCTTAGCAGCTGGTGACCAGAAGTGTGCATCTACAATTGAAATGCTTAAAGGCATTTTGAAAGATGACAGCACTACTAACTCTGTAAGTCTTGCCCCCAATGGAGGATATATTTTTTGTTCAGTAGGTTTACTCATTTTCATCCATGTCATGTCGCTACCCTTGGGTGTAATCTAATCAGTGTTTTAAAAGTGATTCATGGGCATTTTTATCTAGGTGGGTGGTGGGCCTTACACTAGGCAATTGTTAATTCAGATAGTACATGATCTTGATTCTGATATTGTTTGATTTTGAAATTTCCTGTGATGCTTATTGCCTCTGACGAATTACATGATCCATTCGTTTCTGGAAGGTCAATTAAAAACTCTGTAATTGAATTTATAGCTTGTTATTGGCTTATGATCTGTTGTATGTTAATCATACACCTTTCTATGGTTATTATTGGGTAATCCATAAAAACTTTGGTAGTATGCATTAGCCTTGACGATTATAGTGAATTGTTTAGCCTTTACGATTATAGTGAACTGTTAACACCTGCTATTGATTGTTTAGCCATGATAGGCTTCACCAAACTTTGATTGCTATTAGGATGATTGGTTTGTGTATGTAAATAAGAATATCTCATCTGTTAAGTGTGTATTATCTTCATCTCAGGCTAAACAACATATGGCCTTGTTATGTCTGGGAGAAATTGGGAGGAGGAAGGACCTCAGCAATCATGTTCAAATTGAGAACATTGTCATTGAATCATTTCAATCACCTTTTGAGGAGATTAAGTCCGCAGCATCCTATGCACTTGGAAACATTGCTGTTGGCAACCTCTCCAAGTATTTACCATTTATTTTGGATCAGATTGACAATCAACAGAAGAAGCAATATCTGTTGCTCCATTCACTTAAAGAGGTTGATTTCTATTTGAACTTTGGTTGTAAAATGCATTCCTCATCTAATTGTTGCCTAAAACTTGCTCGTACTAAAAAACTGTCAGGTAATCGTGCGGCAATCTGTTGATCATACTGGCCAGAGTGAGCTCCAGGATTCAAACATTGAGAAGATATTGGCATTGCTCTTCAATCACTGTGAAAGTGAGGAGGAGGGAGTTCGGAATGTTGTTGCAGAGTGTTTAGGAAAAATTGCTTTAATTGAACCAAAAAAATTAGTCCCTGCTTTGAAGGTGTGACATGGCTAACCAGCAAAAGCTATTCTTCACTTTGCAGTTATTTTGCTTTGACGGCCTAATGGAATCTCTCTTTGTAGGTACGCACGTCTAGCCCAGCAGCAAATACGAGAGCTACAGTTGCCATTGCTATAAAATATTCAATTGTTGAACGACCTGAGAAAATAGATGAAATCATGTACTCTGAGATATCTACTTTCCTGATGTTGATTAAAGACAGCGATAGGGTAATGACACACTTGTTTACATAATTAATTATTTTTCATTTTTTGTTATACTGAATGATAGTGACAAGATGTGGAACTCAGTAGCATTTTTTGTTTTCCCTTTCGTTTGCATTCACAGCATGTGAGAAGAGCAGCAGTTCTGGCTTTGAGCACAGCAGCGCACAACAAGCCAAATTTGATTAAAGGTCTTCTTCCAGAGTTATTACCTCTTCTATATGACCAAACTGTTATTAAGGTATTGTTTCTTGTATCTTAATTATATCGTTTCAGATATTTGAGCTCTCTTAACCGAGGAAGTTGCATTATAATAAAATCAATGTAGTTGCACTATATCTTATCCATCCTGGAAGTGATGATGTCCTTTCTTTGCAGCAAGAGTTGATTAGGACAGTTGATCTTGGGCCTTTCAAGCATGTTGTCGATGATGGTCTTGAACTCAGGAAAGCTGCCTTTGAATGCGTAGACACTTTATTGGACAGTTGTCTTGATCAAGTGAATCCATCGTCCTTCATTGTACCTTTCCTCTTGTCTGGCTTAGGTGGTAAGTACGTTTTATTCGCTTACATGTCCATAATTGCAATTGGGATGAAGCCAACCATTAGTCCTGGAAAATGGCAAGACTTATCAAATGTGATACCATTGGTAGTCTATTAGACTTTTGAATGGTGAATTTGCTTATCATTTATCTTATCAGTGTTATACTTAGCTGTTATCAAATTTACCTGTTTCCTCTTCATGGTATATAAACTTTCCTAGTATCTATAAAAAAGGGCAGACCCAGTGCCGGAGGCTCCCACATGAGTGGGGTCTGGGGAAGGGATAAATCGAGACAAGCCTTTCCCCCGCAAAATCTGCGGAGAGGCTGCTTCGAACCCACGACCTGGTGACTCAGTGAGACAGCTCTCACCACTGCACCAGGCCTGCCCTTCTTTTTCCTAGTATCTATGAATTGCAAAATTGTAATTTAAATAATACAGTGTATTACTTTCCTGTCCTGTTAGGCTGTTACCACTGGTGAGTGTTGACCTGTTATATTGAGACCTTAGAATAATATTTTTCCTTTATGATATTATTACAGTGCTGTCTCTCCTAGTTATATTACAACCATGTGATATACCTGCATCAGCATATTAATCGTTTATCACTATTTCTTCAATGAACTTATTTTATTACCACCTTCTTTAAAATCTGTACTGCATGACTCTAATTTGTTTGTCAACATGAATGATTCTTTACTATGCTTTCTGCAGATCATTATGATGTAAAAATGCCTTGCCATTTGATTCTCTCAAAGCTAGCAGACAAGTGCCCTTCTGCCGTTCTTGCTGGTTTGTTCTAATCAAGAACCTTTTAAGTGACATTGCAAATGTTGCAGATTTTGTTCTGATATTGCAGCTTTGCCATTTCAGTTTTGGACTCCATAGTTGAACCGATTGAGAAAACTATAAGTCACAAACCGAAGGGGGATGCAGTGAAGCAGGAGGTCGATCGGAATGAAGACATGATTCGTAGCGCTCTTAGGGCCATTTCTTCTTTAAGCCGCATAAGGTAAAGCTTGATTCGATCCTGTCATTCTATCTTTACCCTTACCCTTTATTGCTTGATTTTTTGACAAGATTCCAACCCTTGACCATCTTACTTTTTATTTTGTATGCAGTGGCAGCGACTACAGTATACGGTTCAAGAATCTGATGAACAAGATAACGACCACTCCTGCACTTGCTGAGAAGTACAACTCGGTGCGCAGTGAATAAGATCTGGATTTTGTACATGGTAGATGATAGGTTAAACCCAGAGTGGCACATGCTCGTCAATCCTGGCTTGCTTCTTCCCGTAAATGTTTCGCCCTGGGATAGTCCGGATGCCCTCAGCTGAGGTTCTATACATTCTGTTGCCGCTTCCCTGCTTGATTGCGAGGGTGAGCCAGTACTCTGATGGGTGGTTGGTTTTTGACTTGTATCTGTACAAAATCTGTTGGTAATTCAGTAGAATTGATGGGATTTAGACATTTACTTGGTTGTTTTTTCTTGCCAGAGTTTCAGTTCAGCTGAGGGGTGATGCTAAGCCTGCATTTAGCTGTTCTATCTTTAGTCGGGCTAGGCATAACTGTTCGTCGGTGACATCTGGTTGCAGTCTTTGCTCCGCACGGTTATACTTTATTGAAAGGATGGAATATATGTTGTTGTTGTTAATGCAGTTCTCGGTTTTGCTGCGTTGCCTTGTAGGCACGGTTCACGGTTCAGCAACCCCCTCTCGAGTGGCGCGGCTCACCCCGACAAATTTTTTCCTTGTAAAAAATAACGTCAAGTTTTGCATGTCCGCACTCGTTTGGTACACGGAGTCTGTTGATGCTTGACGGTAGCCTTCGGATCGCGGGTAACAGCTCTTGCCTTCTCGCGCCATACGCATCCCTTGCGCCGGGGCCTTGTCTCCGGGGCAGTGCTAGCGTCCGCCCAATCGGACCACATCTCTCTGCCGATAGTATTCCCGCCCACCAACCCCGCCTCTCAGTTTCCCGCCCGCGCGGCAAGGGAGCCTGCGCGCGCGCCCTCGGATGCCTCATGCAGGCTGTCCCATCGCGTCGGGCCCACTCACCCACGTTACATGCAATAGCTTCTAACGGATTTAAAAAACCCATAAGTCTTAAACCAATCATCCAAATTAAATTCCGATAACACAATTGAATTTCTTACAATAAATCCTTCAAAACAAGATCCCACATGGATATATTTAAATAAAATTTTATTAACAAACATTTATCTTACGACGATAACATTATTGAGTTGAGACGATGTTCTAGGTACACATAACAATGTTCCGTCTTCAACAGAAAAATATTCTCAGTTTAGAAGAACAATATTCTAATTTAGGTTCACGATAATATGGCATAAAAAATAAAAAAAATAAACACATAACATAAATAAATAGTAATAAAATCTAGAGCAAAGCATAAGCAAAAACATAATAGAAAAAAAATTAAAAGAATATCAGAGGGATACTTTTCAAACATTCTAAGGCATACTATAGAATATCACATGTATACTAAGTGAACAACACTAAATACACCATAGAACATCACTAAATACATTGTATAACATCGCATATATATTATTACGTGAACATCACTAAATACATCACAAAACATCACATGTATATTGTGTGAACATCAAAAAAGCATCATAGAACATTACATATATACTACGAGAACATCACATGTATATGACACGAACATCGTAAAATATACCATAGAACGTCACTAACAGCCTGTTCGCTTGTTGGTTTCAGTCAGGGCTTATCAGTCAGCCAACAGTGTTTTTCTCTCACAACAAACCAGCACCAGCCGGACTTATCAGTCCAGAAACCAATCAACGAACAGGCCGTAAATACATTATATAACATCGCATATATATTATGTGAGCATCACTAAATACATCATAGAACATCACATGTATAATACGTGAACATGAAAAAATATTATAGAACATCACATGTATACTACGAGAACACCACATGTATATGACGCGAACATTGCAAGATACATCATAGAACATTACATGCATACCACGTGAACATAAAAAAAAATATTACAGAACATCACATGTATAACACTAGAACATAAAAAAATATAGAACATTACATGCATACATATGAACAGCATAAAACATCATAAAAAATAATAAGAAAAGAAAAAAGAAAAAAAGAGGAAAAATATATAAAATGAAAATAATAATAAACACATAAACATAAAAAGAAAATAAAAATGAATATGCACGAAAAGAAAAAAGAAAAAAATAAAGAAATATTAAAATAAAGAAAGATTAAAATATAGAAAACATAATTAGAAAAGAAATAAAATAAAACAAATACAAAGAAATCAAAAGAAGAAAGGAAACATGAAGTACAATGAAACATAAGCATTTTAATAAACCAAAAAAAATAATAGATATATCCTAATATAGTAGGCAAGCAAATTTAGATAAGTCAAAATATTTTATTCTAATTATATTCTATGTGATTTTGTTGTCTAAAAGATGTCAATAAATATTATCACATGATTTCCCTCATTATACTCTCTTAATATAAACATACACTGCTCGCCAAAGCCCCGGTGCATTCCTAGCTCAGTGCTCGGTTTTCCACTGCTCGCCAAAGCCAGCAATCCAGCCCAATTCCCAACTCGATCATGGCTCGGTCACCCCCGAAGCCAGTGGACAACGAGGCATCCGAAGCCGAGCAGATTGGAGGAGGGGTCGGTGTAGAAGGCATCACCCTGCTTGCCGTCATCCGATATCTCATCTACCGATGCTTTCGCCGACGAGGTGTGGTTGTGACGGTGGAGGTTCCGACCGACGGACCACAGCTGCCGACCATCACCCCCTGCGGCCGGCGGCTCAGCACGAGCCAATGCACACTTTCTGAGGGAGACAGTTTCTGACGGATTCTAGTACTAGTAATTCAAAATCCTTGCGCATGTGTAGCATAGTTAGCTAGTGGCTGCATGTTTATTGCATGTTTTCAATTCAGTTATGCGTGAACTGACGGAGCCAAGGGGGGATGGCGGGGGCCATATGCCCCCCTCCTAACAACACAAGAAACATATTTTTACTCATTATTTATATTAAGAAATTAATATATAGTAAAATTCTTACCATATATATTTATTGGATATGTGATACTTTAATTAACTAGTTAATGATGTTATTTGTACTTTAATTTATTATCATCTTTCATATTAATCTCTTATAACATCTTATATAATTAAAAATTAGTCTTTTCATTATTTTTCTCCATCTCTTTTGTTCCCATAATAGCCCTCTAACTAGCTAGTTAAAAATATTTAGTGCTTTCTTGATTACTCTCCTTCTGAATTGATATCCATTAACACCTATATTATTCGGGATTAGTCTTCTTGTTATTACCGTGTTTTTTTTCTAGCCTAAGAATTAGATTGATCATCACATAAATGTTAGAGACCTCGGGCTAATTAATTTTGTTCCTTGTTTCTCTAAAATATTTTGTGTCTTTTTTTTTAGTTTTTTTTGTATTATAACACAAAAAAAGTTATTTGGTTGTGATGTACACTTTGACTGTATATGTATTTCGTTGCGTGATTGTTATCGGTTCAAATCGCCCCCTTATGTTTAAATTGTGGCTCTGCCACTGCTGGCTTCGCCCCACGTCTTCGGTTTGTACGTACTGCTGCACGTGTCTACGAACGGCCACTTCAATCACTGCTTCGCCACGCGACGGATGGACACGCCCTGCGATGCTGACGCCGGTGGCCCTGGCCAGTGGGTCCCCCGTATCATTGGTTCAGCACTTCAGCCTTTATGGTTGCCCGCTGGTTCTCCGAAATGGCGGCTCGCTGCCTCGCTCGCTCTTCGCTTCACCGCGCACGGCCGCACCTCAAATCCTGAACCAGAACGAGCAGTGTCAAAGCCAGCAGCTCGTTGTTAGTTGCCAGCCGTACTGTCAGTCAGCTCGACATATCTGCTGCATATGGGCTGCTTGTGGAAACAGAAACAACCCGCCCATCCAGTCTTTGCCTCGTTTTCGTTCGTTTTCGTTCAGTTAATCACCCTAGAGTTTACTCCCTATCGTATTAAATGTTTAGATAAATAAATAGAGTATTAAATATAGACTAAAAAATAACTAATTATACATATTGCGACTAATTTATAAGACAATTTTTTTATACCTAATTAGTCCATGATCTGACAACGTTGTGCTACAGTAAACATATGCTAATGATAGATTAATTAGGCTTAATAAATTGATCTCGCTGATTACCGATGATTTTTGTAATTTGTTTTATTATTAGTATCCGAACACTCCCACGTGTCACCCCGATGTCATTCTCTAAACTTTACTTTCTGGATTTAAACACCATCTTATTATTTTATTATTCTATTGGCTAAACTTAGGCGGGTTGACTGAACAATATTATCTCTTTCCTTTCGAATCCTGAGCCAAGCTCGAGATTTGGGACTTAAAAGTCATGGATTATCGGACGATGAATGAATAATAGCTTTTTTTTCTCCGCACCAAACCAAAGCAAGCCGGCCATCTGCACACGGCGGTAAGATTTCTCAGCCATTACTTATTAGCAAAACAAAACCCAAACGAACGGAGCACTGGTCTCTCGTGAATCTTTGCTGCAATGCGAGATGCAACCCGTTTCCTACTGTTTTCCGTGGCGGTGCAAACATGCCTGCTGGTGCCTGAAATTTCAGGGAAGCATCCAGTGAGATATTTGGAACAAAATTTTCCCTTCATGATTATTGTTTCATCAGTTTCGGTGCGTCTGATGGTGCTGCATGCAAACTTGGTGCGCTAAAATTTTATACCTAATGATGAAATGGACCGAAGTTTGTAACCAAACAACTATAGTTTTTCTTTTCCTTTTTGTGTATACTCCCTTTGAAAAGAATGTAATTCTATAGACCTATTTGGTTCGTGAGAAAAACGATCCATGCTATAAGTTTAAGTTAGTCATGTGATAGTTTTTTTTGGCAGCTGTTTGGTTTGCTGCCACAACTACGGTGTGCCACACTTTCTTAGCAACCTATCCCACACGTCATGGACCCATTTTTTTTGCCAAACTTTGACACAAGTGTGGCTTCAATTTTGCTCGCCAAACTTTCTCTAGCAGCTATAGTTTGCCGAAGGTTAGGCGTAGCAAGTTTTGATCATCAACCAAACAGACCCGTTTAGTTCGAGTAAGACCATATTTGGCCCCGTTCGCTGATCTGAAACTTGGCTAAAACTGGCTGGTTTTATGAGAGAGAAACACCGTAGCGGCTGATTGATGAACAATGTTTTGTGAGGAGGAGCAGCCGGCTGGTCTGGAAAAACTAGACCAGCTAACGACGCCTTTAGATCCATTAGTGTTAATAGTTACTGCTACCAGCTAGCAGAGGAAAGTCTCATTTTGATAGCTTCTTATTAGTAGGCCGGACTATTGGCTAACCCTAACCTATTAGTTGAATCTCATTTACATCCTCCATTTAATAGTTTGGCACTTAGTTTAGGGAGGCCAATTGAGAAATAATATTTTATCAGCAAGGAAGTTCATTTTGCGCTATTGGTTAAACTATTAGCTACTTTGTTTAGATCCACTAATGCTAATTTTAGCTGCCAACAATTAATACTAATATATCTAGATAGGTTCTTAAACTATTATTTTAACGAAGTTTATAGAAAATAGTACTAATATTTATGACTTTAAATACTATGGGCAAATCATGCCGAATATTAATATGTTTTCATACAGAGTACAAATTGGGCTAAACTTAGGCGGGTTGACGAACAATATTATCTCTTTCCTTTCGAATCCTGAGCCAAGCTCGAGCACGTCATTGGGCCACGTCGCTCCTTTTGTTTTATCCATCCGATTTTGATCGGACAACTGGAACGGGCACAGCAACCGGCGTTTCCGGAGCTTTCGCCCGAGCTCGTGGCTAGGCCGCGCCCGCGCCTCAGGCCTTGGCCTCGGCCATCTGCACACGGCGGTGCTCACCTTCCTCACCGCCGGCATGGAACCCACTAGCTCGCTCAGCGCCGCGCGCCGCCTCATCGCAGAGCCGCGAGTGGTGCGACTGTGTCCCCGCCGAGCTCCGCTCCCGTCCCACCCATGCCGTGCTGCCGGGCGCCACCTGCTCCCCCACAGAGGCGACGCCACCGTTCGCGGCCCGCTCCCCCGCTGAGGCCGCGCCGCCGCCGCTACTCGCCACGAGCGCTAGACAGCGGCGTGAAGACGAGGGCCGCACCTCTGCCGCTCGGCCGCGGAGCGAAGTCGAGGGGCGCGACTCCGCCGCCTGAGCACGGGTGCGGTACTGGAGGAGAGCGGCGTGAAGACGTGGACCGCGGCCCCGGCGCTGGACGGCTGGAGGAAATGGCAGCGACTCCTCACCTGCGTTCACTGCCGCGACCGATCCACACTCGTCTCGCGCCGCTCGCATCCACTTGATCCAGCTGCTGGACCTCAAAGAAGTTATTCCACGACGTCCGCGACGAACTGGCGGCTCGCATCGTCTCGCCGCTGCTCCTGGCGTCCTCCCCTCCCCGCGAAAGTCTCCGGCTGCTATAACCTTCTTGCTACATGCAGGCAAGGAAGCGCGTGCCACCCTGCGAGGTACGTCTCTTGCTACCCACCTCTATGGATCTATCTATTCAAAGCACATATGCACAACAAGTGTTCGATGCTTTGCCTCCATGAGATGATTGTTCAATTTGAGCCTGAAAAAAAAATGTGGACACAGATGACCTGTTAGTCACCTACCAATAGACTATTGCCGCAACAGCACTTGATTGCCATCAACAATAACCTTGACCTGGATGGCTTTCGCCATCGCTACTGAGCCCATGCCACTGTCTGGTCCACCTCCGGTGCTCACACTGCTGCATTACATTAAGATTATCTAAAGGGCGTACCCAGTGCAGAGCTATGCGGGGTCTGGGGAAGGGTGTTAGTGGCAAGCCTTACCCTCGCCTGTGCAATGCGAGGAGACCGCGACTCGAACCCGGGACCTTCCGGTCACAGGCGGTAAGAATCTACCGCTTGCACCAGGCCCGCCCTTCTACATTAAGAGTATCTAAAGTTTGGAAATTTGGAATGGGACAAACTATTGGTTTGTAGGCTTTGATATATGCTACCTTTTAGCTGCCAGCATCTGGACATTGTTTTGTTTGTGGGATGGTAGACTATTGGTTTAGCTGCCTTCCACACAGCTAAGGCCGCAAAGACGCACCCTACCTGTCTGCCCCAGCGCCTTTTGCCTAGGTACGGGTTGCCCGAGAACAGTTATGTGCCGGCCATGGCAGCAGGCACTTATCAGCTGGCACTGGTACGTTCAGCCCCGCTCGGTCCCTGGCCTCACTCCATCGCCTACTTATGCGCTATTGCCCACTATGGTGCTGTCATCTCCACCTCAAAGTTCTCGCTTCTTCTCCTTTCTTCCTACCTCAACGATCTTCGTCATGAAACAGCTGCACTTCTCTACTGCAAGAGTCCTGCAATAGTCTAGTTTCCCCAAACCTTTGGGGTTCCTTGATCTGCATTTCGATTAACTGATAAGTAAACAACTTAGCTATTTAGTTAGATCAGAGAGCTAAATGTCCCTTCACCAGTTCAGTTTACTGTACAAATGGCTAGAAACCAGGTGCAGATTAGTTTCCATCTGCAGAATCGAAGTTTTCATTTTCTCTAATGCCCTTCGTGCTTTACATGTCATCATGTGTTAAAAAAAGCACTGCTGGTTACTATACTTTTCATATATTCAGTCAAGTTCTTAGTACCCTACTGTTCAAACTGAAATGTAAGAGTATCAAAAAATTCATTACACCTACTTGTTGTATATTAAAGAAATCAGTTCTTCGTATGTATTAATTGCCTCCTAACCTGCTGTATCTCATATATAACTTAAAAAATACTTTAATTGCCTCCTAACCTGCTGTATACACCATTACTTTTCTTTGTTTTTTTAATCTACATACTGGGTTGTTCATTTTCTGGAACCAGGACAAATATTGATGTTAACGTTCTCTAGCCATTGTCATTTCAGTTGCTTAGATAAGTAAATCTTGATAAATAAATGTTTGATGCAGACCAACAATTAGATTGTTTAGTGGTCTCGCTGGAGCACCTCTTCTATGCAGCACTCTTTATCTGAGAATGGCTTCTATCCAATTTTTTTAGCGCATTTCATTAAGTTGAAAACAAAAGTAATATTTACAAGGAATTGAGAGTTATTGACTTCCTATACTACCCTGCTAAAAACGACGACAAAAGTAATCAACAGAATTTTCATTGACTTTCACTTACATATGTTTCTGTATATAATAAAATTTGTAGGTGCCTCCAAGAAGCCAATGAAACAGGTACTAGCAGCCTGGAATGTTCCTTTTCTGTCTTCCTAATTTCTCATTCGGTTGAAGCCTGCCTTAGTGGTAGTCTAAATTTCTGATTATTGTATATCAAAATGTCATATAGCAGTGCCAGGTAACTCAAAAGTAATTCCAATATGACAATTCCACCATTGTACAAAGTGTGGCATTTTTTGCGATGTGCATTTCTTATTGCTTCTTCAATCAGATGAAAGCATTACCATGATAGCCCATGATGCTCAAGTGGGCAGTTCTGGAAAACAATGGAATTGCTTTCAAAAATCTAATCCTTCATCCTGCTCTGTTTAGTTATTTTTGGTAATTATAATATAATCTTTATGCAGTGTGCTATTTTGCACCATCTGCAATTTATTGTTCATCCATGATTTAGTTTTTTTTGATAAAAATGATTTATTTTATTTTATATTTATCTGCAGCTCTGTGAGGCAGCACTATGGTCTGAACACTGAAAATTCTTAGATAGATGAGAATTGAGAGCATTACACAAAAGATGACATCCTTGCCTTACTCTCATGTGTAATTTTAGTGTTTTATGTTACCACTGGCTTCATAATCTGAAAGTACTTGTAAGCTCCACTAATTCCATGTGAAGTATATTAATTCTATACCAAAGCTCTATTTATAATAAATTATTTAGTGATATAAATGTTGTTAATATTTTATATAAAGGTAGTCGAACTTAAGAAAGTTTGATCAGCGTGCATCCAATAGCATATTTCTTTTTGGGATAGAGGGAGTACATGATTACGGTCTCATTTGGATCCGAGTGGATTTTAAGAATCTGGATATGTGTTTTATTGTATTATTTGCATGTGTGTTAAAATCCACCAGAATCCTACCCTGTTTGGATTGGATTCTAGGATTCCGGATTTTTTTATCCAGATTATTGGGAATCGCATGGTAGCCAAAGGCTACCTACATTTAGCGTATCAGTGCTAAGCAATAACTGGACGATCTAGTAGGGCGCGGCAAAGCTGCGCCTGGATTTCTAGTCCTTTCTGAGACGTGCTAGCTGACAATTTCACTCTTGTTCTTTGGTGATACTCTATTGTGCAAATGTAGCACGGATTTGGACGTACAAGACGCACCTAGTCTTCTCGAAACTTCCGCTCGCGAGGCTTCCAACTGAGTGCACCTTCGCCACAGCCACAGGTGGCTCGGACACTGATGTTTCGTGGCGTGATGCGGGAACTAAGACAGTGATCAGCGATGTAATCAGTCTGTGCCTTTTGTGTTTCAGTTGCGCCAAAACAAAGCCGTCGTCGTCATGATTGACAGCCTGACTGGCCCAGTTCAATGCCGTGCCAAGAAGGGACTGCGGTAGCAGCTCTTGCCTTCTCGAGCCATACCCATACACGTCCCTTGGGCCTTGACGCCGGGCCTTGTCTCCGCTCGCAGCAGCGAATCCTTTCTATCTCCGGCGGCAGCAGTAGCACCGACCCGCTCCCCTTAGCTGCCCACGCACAGTTGCTCCTGACCTGAAGCAACCGAGGCTGTGTGTGTGTGTGTGTGTGATTGCAGCCTAGCCTAGCACTAGCACGCAGCAGCAGTAACTCTCCTCTCAGGCAGACAGGCACCATTGCCGGCAAGGTTTCCCACCCTGTGTGCCCTTGCCTTCACTTCTCATCAGTCCAGTTGCAGGAAGACTTTGTTGTGCTAAAACATGCAACTTCTTTGATTTGGACAAAAAAAAGACACCTCATGTTCAAACCTGAGATAGAGAGAGAAAAAAACATGTGCAGCAGGTCACCTGTCCTGTACCGCTGTACGTGTGCATAATGGCGTACGGCAACGGCATGATTAGTATCTGGGCAGGAGATCCAGGCACAGGTTGACGTTTGATTTGAAGCAGATCAGTTGCTTTGGGTGCAAGCAGGCTGAACCTGTGCTGAATCTTCCGCTTCTGGCTTCCCTGATCCCTCCACAGTTTTATGCGGCAGCAGTTCGTTGTTAGTTGCCAGCCGTACTGACTGTCAGCTCAATATATTTGCTGCACATGTGGCTGCTTGTGTGCAAACAGAAACAACCCGTCCATCCAGTCTTTGCCTCGTTTATTTATTCTATCCTATCTAATCTCCTGAATCTTTGCTGCAATGCGAGATGCAACACGTTTCCTACTGTTTTCCGTGCCGGTGCAAGCATGCCTGCTGGTGCCTCAAGAAGTTTCAGGAAGCATCCGGTGGGATATTTGGAACGAACTGTTTTCGTTTCGGGTCTAATCGGCTGGTATTAAAGTCGGCTGAAGCTGTTTTATTGTGAGAGAAAAATACTGTAGATTCTAGCTGATAAGCCGGCTCATAAGTTAAGCGAACAGGCCTGCTGGTGCGTCTGATCTGATGGTGCATGCGAGCTTGGTGCGCTACATTTTCATACCTGATGAAGTGAAGCAAAGCACCTGTAGCCTTTTTTTTATTAGTATATGACTATTAGCTAACCTATTGTCGAGTCCATTTAGATCCTCCATCTAATAGTTAGTGGTACTTAATTTAGACAAGCCAATTAATAACTTTTTATTGGCTACCTAGTTCATTTTAAGCTACTCCCTTCATCCCAAATTATAAGTCATTCTAAAAATCTAGGAGAGTCAAATGATCTCAAGTTTGACCATATATGATAAGATAAAAATATTTATGATACCAACTAAGTATCATTAGATTCTTCGTTAATTATATTTTCATAGTGTAACTATTTGATGTTATAAATCTTTGTAATTTTCTCTATAATTTTGGTCAAACTTAAGATGCTTTGATTCTCCAAGATTCTTGAAATAACTTATAATTTGGAATGGAGGGAGTATTAGTCAGACTATTAGCTAGGTTGTTTGATTCACTGGTGCTACGTTTTAGCTGCTAACAATTTGCACTAGTGGGTTCAGACAGATCCTTAAACTATTTTATTTTTAAAAGTTTATAGGATATAGTATAAGTTATCAACACTTATGACTTTAAATAGGTATACTATGAATATTATTATAAATTTGATTAAACTTAGGAGGTTGACTGATTATAGAATTTTATCCTTTTTTGAGACGGAGGTAGTACATAGTATATATCATCCTTGTTCTTTGGTGATATTGTGCAAAGTTAGCATGGATCTGCGCAGAATAATGCTGCTGCTTTTCGCGAAGCTTCCGCTCGCAAGGCTTTCAACCGAATGCAGCTTGGCCTCAGGGGCTATGACACTGATGTCTCGTGGCGTGATGCGAGAGAACTAAGACAGTGATCAGCGATGTAATCAGTCTGTGCCTTTTGTGTTTCATTCTTCAGTTGCGCCAAACAAAGCCGTCGTCGTCATGACAGCCTGACTGGCCTCAGTTCAATGCCGTGCCAAGAAGGGACTGTGGCTGTGCCGGACGCTCGCCTCGCCCTGCTCACGTCATGTCCTGTCCTGGCCATACATAAGTTTTCATTTGGTCTACCAGTATTCCAGGATGTCACTCTTGTGGGAGATCTGATTTGATCGTTTTGAAACCAGCTCGTTTTCATTTGGTTTACATTTCTTGCTTGCAAAAATGTATGATTTCAAGTTTTTGGTTAATTGCACTGGCAAATCTTGAAATATACATGTCGTAACACACTAGACTATTAGGACACAGTTGTTCTTTTTTAAAAAAGAAAAAAGAAAACTAGAATTGACAACTCCAGAGTCCAGATGCTGAAACATCTACAACTACTCCTGAATTTTCAAGCTCCATGGATCTTCCCAACCGGTGAAATATCTCGCGGATCTAGATATACGACTGGCTCAGACGCGGTTGTCTTGACGCAATGGGATTTGCGGTTTGCACCGTTGCCCTGGACGAGACGACGGAACCTGCAAGTGCAAGGCAGCAGTGCCCGGCTTTCTTTAGGAATTTTTGCTCAGATGGTTTGTAGCTTTGCTATCTTTGCCCGGACCACCAGCATCGTCTTGGCATCGCAGCTTTAACCAGAGGTAAAGCTATGTCCCCAAAATGCAGTGCGGTTAGACAATGGTGGTGTGGGTGTGGTGCAGAAGAAAGAAGTATGTACTGTCTTAATTCAATTCAAAAGGTGGTGAAGCTATATGAATTTGGAGATGGTTTTGTTCGTCGTGAAATTCAATTCCCGCGTTCGAAACTAGGCGAGATATCATATGCGAAACTAAGTTGTGCGCCGTAATATAGCAATAGATTGCACAAGGGAATGTGAGGATTTGAAACAATGTAGTGCTAAAAAAACGAATATTACTGCTACCTCAATAATATCACATGGATCTAAATAGAACTAGATTGCAAAAGGGGAATTGAAGAATTTGAAACAACTGTCTGTTCGCTTGGTTGATAAACCATGGCTGAAAGTACTATTCGCTAATTTGTCGTGAGAGAAAAATACTATTCATTGGTTGAAAAAGTACGGCTTATAAGCGATCTGGACCAACGTACGAAGCGCCAAGAAATGAGAATTACTACTACCTCAATAATATGAATCACAATGAGGATTACATGTATGGTTAATGCAGAATTCTCCAACCAAATTCTCTAGCACAAACCCACACACACTGCAAGTCCTAGAAGGGGGGTAATAAAAAAGGACACCCGGCTGTAGTTCTTCCATCAAGCAGCTACTGCTAGTACTACTGGCTAGCGGTAAAAAGGGGGGGGGGGGGATCTAGAGCACCAGTGCAGCCCAGATCCCCGTCTAGCCCTCCACCCTGTACATCCTAAAAGACTGTACCTAGGGGGTAAAACCGTAAAAGCGCAGACGGCTGCGCGTCTCCAGCGGCGGCGGCGGACGGGCGGAGATCAGCAGCATAGGGGTGGCGGCGCCTGCGCCTGCCGCCTAGGCGTAGCATCCGGCGGGTGAGGGGTCGTGGGAGAGGCGGAGCAGGAGGCATCGGAAGTCGGCGACGGGGCAGGGGATGCGGAGCGCGCCGGGGTGCGCGTACCCGTACTCCTGCGCGGCGCGGCGGAGGAGCGCGGCGAACGGCGGCTCGCCCAGCAGCTCGGCGCGCACCGCGAAGCGCTCCACGGGCCCGCCTTCCTCGCCCACGCACACGGGGACGTGGCCCTCCGGCACCGCCTTCTTCCCCTTCCTCCTGCTGGGCCGCGCCGCCGCCACCGTGCTGGAGAGCCGCCTCAGGAGCCGCTTCATGGCTTTGGTGTTGGAGCGAGGGTGGGAACTCGGAAAGGCGGTTGTTCCTTGGAGTTCGAGCGAGGCTCGGGGCTGCGGAGGCCGAGGAGCTCGGGGCACGAGGTGGTGTTTGGCTGCTGCTGCGGGAGGGACGGGGAGCTCCGCGCTTTATAGAAAGAGAAGAAGGCGGAGGGGAGGGGAGGCGTCGTACAAGAGTTGTACCCGGCGGGTACAGGGGCGGCGACCCGGGCGGGGGACAGAAAGCCGGTGGGCCGGGCCCGAGTTGCCGGCCTGACCGAGTGAGCGTGGCCGGACCGGCCCTTTTAAGGAGCCACCCACCGGTGGACTGCCCTGGTCCCTCCTCCTCCCTTGCCAGCAGCGCCACCAGCCAGCTTCGGGGTTCGGGCGGTGCGTGGGCCCAGCCGCAGAGACCGACTGGATGGGACGGCGACGGGGCGGGTCCCCGTCCGTCCGGTGCCGTGACCAGACCGTGAGGCAGCCGGCGACCGTGCCGCGTCCGTGGTCCGGGCTCGTACGGCCGCGGGGAAATGTGGCGGGGCTGGGCTCGGGCGGCGACCGAGGACTGAGCGTGACTCCAGGCTGGTGGGCATATACGTGGGGCTAGCCTACGGGAGAGACGAGAGAGAGCGACACCCTGGCGGGGCCCACATGGTATGGTGTTATACGGACGTGCATGGCGCCATGCCGCCATGGCCACCTTCTTAAAAAAAAAAAACGCTCGCTACCTCCGCTCTCGTCTCGTCTGGTGCAAAACTTTTTTCTTTTTTCCCCCGGTCTCACTCTCACTGGCAGAAACGTCAAGTGCCAATGCTTGACCAGGCGTTTTTTTTTCGTTTCTCACGGCCGTACGCTACGATATTTTCTCTACGGTGATGTAGCGTGTCTGTCTACGGCAACTGCCGTACTGCTGGTAGTATACTTGTTTCTACGTACGTACTCGTAACGCTTACGTCTCATCTTTTAAAAGATGAAGTTTGCACCATTGAATCTGGCCTCTCATCGTGCCACGTCTCCAACTCTTTAACATGCCACGCGTCCTTCGAATCTACTCACGATCGTATGGTCCAAATGGGAAATAATGTAATGTACTCCTACCATTCTTGCGAGTTCATCCTCAGACGCGACGCTTCTCCTCCTGTCCTGCTCTGCCGCTCATCCGGTCATCCCGCACCACCATAATCGTAGCAGATCTGCCGCACCTGCCTGCGACCACGGCACCACGCTAACGGAGAAGCTCATAGAGACAATCTTGCTATGTTTCCTGCCCGCGGATCTGACGAGCCCTATCCTCGCCGACGCTGGTGCCGCCGCGAGACCCATCGCCGACGTCGGTTCCACGAGCTCCATGCTCAGCTTCTTCGCCGGCGCCGAGTAGGGCGTCTGCTTGGTGCAATCGTGCCCACCTCAGCTCCACGCTCCACCTTCCGTCTTCCCGTGCTCTTCTCGCGGGCTACATCAACAGCTGGTGCCGTGACCCCGACAGCGTTGGTCCATTAGAGAGCGGCTGCTATGGGAGTTGGGAGTGGGCAGACAAGCCTTCCATATCGCTGCCCTGGGTGGCGCCGCACCCCTAAAGCTGGAAGGCCCTGGCCGCAGCTCTGCGCAGCCGCCGCCAACGACGTCCCTGCGATCAGTTGAGTTTGCCGCCGCCACTTCCTCATCGTTGTGGGCACCAATCATATGGAAATGGTGAATGGTGGAGGGCCCATTGCTCTTGTGGGGAACACGCTCTATTTTGCGTTTCAAACTTCCAATAGCCACATGAGTCCTCGAGTACAAACTAGGCAAACAGGAAATGGTGGTGATTCGCTTGCCATAGGATCGTTTCAATCTTACAATATGAATCGTGCTTCCAGGTCACTCCAATTGGCAGCGAATTGTGCTCACAAGTAGCAAAAATGGTGGCTTGAGATTCGCCACAACAAACAAGTCCACAATCTACCTGGTCGAGGGAGGCACGTCCTAGGACGTAGGAGATGTGCATTGGGCACATACTAGAGCCGTTGAGCTTGACACCCATGTCCCAGTTTGTGCCCTCTCAATGTTTCCCGGCCGATCACACAGCTTTGTGAATGGCATCGGTGTCAATTTTGTACGGATGGGCCATGGACTCTTCAGTCTTCACCATTGGCTTCTCCGAGCTTCAGTCTATCACATTCACCCTATACAATTCTTCTTATATGTGATGAGCAATGAATTGGTAGTGTAGTATCACAGTTCAGTAAAAGAAACTGTCTACCTTATCTAGGAAAAAGCCGCTATACATCAAACTGGAAATTGGCAATAGCAAATTTTGCATAATGGTTGATGAAGCTTGAGATGAGTCAAAAAAGAGAGCAAATGGCGATAGTCCTCCGATTTGTCAACAAGGAAGGCCTTATAAAGGAGCGTTTCCTTGATCTGATCCATGTTAGTGATACTACAGCTTTAACACTTAAAGAGTCAATTTGTGCTGTCCTCTCAGCTAATGGCCTAAGCACACAAGATATAAGAGGCCAAGGTTACGATGGGGCCAGTAATATGAGAGGGGAGTGGAACGGATTGAAAGCTCTAATTCTCAATGAATGCCCATATGCATATTATATTCATTGCATGGCTCATCAACTTCCCATTGTATTCACCCCACATAAATCACCCCATCAGAAAAAAAGCGGTGAAGATCAGGAACAAGGTGTTATAAAACATGTTGCCAGCGGTTAGGACATTCCCATCTCCGTCTCTCATGATCAACATAGTAGATGAAAGTAGAACACATAGATACAAGAGATAGGGAGACTATTCTTTATTTCTCTCAATATTGGTGATTACAACATAGAGCTCCTACATATATATAGTCCTGCCAAGGTCTAAGAGTTTGGTAAGAGCCCACATATAAACGGACTAGGATTAGGATTCCTACTTTTCCTTTCTGTCGATGCGGGACCCACAGGATACCCCGCAAGAGAGAGAAGATCTAGTTCAACTAGGATTCTTCCCATGTAATCTTAGTAATAGAACTATTAAGTAATCCTACTAGGAAATCTCATTGTAAACCGACTAGGACTCTGGCCTCCTGACTATATAAAGGAGGGCAGGGCTCCTGAAAGAAGAAGGACAATTGTACAACATAACACTTCATAATCAATCCAACGCAAAAGGCAAACGCCGACTGGACGTAGGGTCGTTACTCAATCTACGATCGAGGGCCTGAACCAGGATAAATCGACTGTCTCTTGCGTTCACCATCGAGTTCAGCATACGCCGAAACCCGAACGATACTGCCACGATACCCCTGTGGTAGGCTATCGGTGGTAAAACATCGACAGCTGGCGCGCCAGGTAGGGGCCTTCGGCGACTTTGCATCCGAGACCTCGATGGACCTCAATAACATGATCTTTCCGACGGGATCGATTTTTATCTTCGGCTTGTGGATCTGCGAGGCGGACAACTACGGCAAGCTTCAAAGTCATCTCCTCAAAGATCCGGATCATCATGAAGAATCCTCTATCTCGACAACTACGACGGATCAGCTCATCAGAAGATTCGCGCAGCCCATAATACCCGATTCGAATAAGATTCCACGGCTACACGCATCCGACTCGAATTCAAGCTCCGTATCCGAGATGAAGTCTTATTCGAGTGCTTTCAAGAAGTCGAGTTCCTTTTTGGCAAGATTCCAGAGCACAACCCAAAATAACTCGGATTACCCTCAGAATTCTTTCAAAAGGCCGAGTTCTTTTCCATTTGGGCTCGACAACACGACAAAATCCTATCAGGGACAGTTTGAAAGGTCTTTCAAATCAACACTTGGGATACAACTAACAGGAGCTCAGGAGGGTCTCGTACTAACGATAACATCGCAAGACTGTATCATCCACTGGCCAGGATCCATTCCTGAGGATAACGGAACCCAACTAGTCGGCACAACAACAACAGCTATTCTACCTTACCAAGAGGGAGACTCAATCTACGACGTCGAGGCGATCATGAAGTCATCAAGAACTCCGAAAAGTATGAAAACTAACAACAATAACGGAACGGCTCACGCACGGAAGTGCTCATGGTTCGACGCCCTCGGTCACCATTAAACCCCCGAAGCACCCGATGTCGAGGTCATCGGATGAATCGAGAATCCAACATATCACCCTTTGCTCGGGGCTACGATGGAGAAACCGAGAGTCGAGACAAAGCTAGAGAAAGGAAAAACAAGTTGAAACAAGGGCGCCAAAGACCGCGCTCGACAACAGAGAAGCTGGACCAGACATCTGAGTCGAATTGGTGAATACGACAAAAGAAAATCACAACAAGAGGTCAAGAGAGACGCACAAGTGAGTACGCCTTTACGATAAGATTCGAGAAGCATTAGAAGAACTCGGGGCAACTTCACATCACGGAGAGAAGTACGAACAGCTCCAGGACTTGCTCCGGTCAACGATCCCAAGAACGCATGAAGAGAGAACCCGATCAAGACTACCCGCCGGATCAACAACCCCAGAGCAAGAAGATCAAAATCAAAGGAAGTCCGCTTTTGAAAGACTTGGACCAAAGCGGAAGCCATAACGGAGAAAGTAGGAGGAACATAGTTGGGGCCATCAATTTGAACAACCAAGGAAGACCAGGAGTAAAGGGCCTACCTAGACAGCCTCGCAGAATTATTCCCATCAAAACAACACTTGGCCAGAAGAAGGAGCCGAATCCGAATTCAAGGAAGCCGAAACGCATGACAGATTCCCCTGTTTTGCAAACAGGTTGGCATCAGTACGATTACCTCACAAATTCAAACCGTCTAATCACTCCAAGTATGATGGCAAAACCGAACCAAGACAATGGCTCAGAATATATTCACAATCAATTGAACTAGCCGGAGGAGACGATGATATCAAAACCTTGTTCTTTCCCATGGCACTGAAAGCGATGCCCCTCCAATGGTTCGATAAATTGAACCCAGGATCGATCAGAACTTGGGAAGACTTGCAAAGAGCTTTCTGTGAAAATTTTGTAGGTATCATCACACACCCGAT